GTGGGGGGAGGGGAGGGGGGAGAAAGGAGAAAATTGGTTTAAGAATAAGAGAAGGGGTGAGACAGGAGAGAGATGTGTCTTGGGAGGGAAGGGGGGGGGGGGAGAGGCACGTGGAGGGCAGCAGTGGGCCAGGTGGCCAGGTGTGGGGAGCTGGCAAGTCTGTCGGGGGTGCCTTTCGCTGATGGTGATTGACGCCGCGGTGTTCCAGCACCCAAGCAAGGCGCCACAAGCACAGACCGACAGTTCTGTAACCATACCAGAAAGCTGTATTCACACCTACCTTCCAATGTCAGTGATTTTGTCGAAGATCCGGCGGGTTTATCGCCACAAGCCACCAAATGCCGCCTCAGGGCGCCAGCCACCTCTTACACGCAGCCGGCGCCCTCTCGCGGCAAAAGGGTCGAGCGAGCGGGAGAGTCGCGATGGTCGTGTAAGAGAGGCACGCGGGTGCGCAGACATCGCGGAGAGAGGCCCTCTTGCGCCGCCAGTAGCGTTCCGCACTCCCCACGCCACCAAATGCCGACTCATGTGCGCCTGCGCGTTCTAGCCGTGTCTCGTGGGGAGGTGAACGCGTCCTGTTGAGTGGTGGGATGTCTTGTGTGGGTGTTCGCCGCCTATATGCTCTATCCTGCGGCAAGACGGACGTGTTTTGACAATCGAAATCTACCTCAAAATTTGCGGCCGCCCCTCGAAATTTGCTGATCAAAATTTGCGGTGGCCCGGATCGAAACCTGTACTTTGGCCAATCCCGAGTCGCGGATGGTCGATTCCCCGCGCAGCGCGCAGGTTGGTACGGGACCCCTTTTGATACTCGAAACAATCACCTCTGTGCGCGCGTGGGCGCTGTAGCTGTGAAGGTCGTCGGCCCGGGGCAGATTTTGTACTGTTACGTGCGTGATAAACTCAACGGCTCACACCATCGCCTTGCTCTCATCCTCGGAGGCCTTGGGGTCCGGCGCGTGCAGGGCCCGGAATATCTTGTAGTGCAGAAAGGCGAACGCGGGCGCAAAGGGCAGAAGGTGAATTTGCCCTGTACCATGTAGAAGAAGGGGTAGACGAGCCGCTGCACGACCAGGGCGAGGCCGAGGACGCCGGCAGAGCCGGCGTCGACAAAGATGGTGTAGAGCCAGAGCGAGGTGAGGAAGACGGATACGACGCGTGGAGGCATCCCGGAGGACTGGTTGGCGCGTGGCGGGGCAAGGGGCCTGCTCAACCATGTTGCCGCTGAACCGCGAGGAGATGCTGCTCCAGTCGGGCGTCACCTGGTTCAGCGTGCGCGCTCGGTGAGTGGGGGGAAGGAAGGGGCTCTGCGTCGACGACGGATGCGCGAGCTGTCCGCGACCTTGTCCGGCGGGATCATCTTGAAGATATGGACCGCGCACATCCCATTCACTGATGTGCCAAGCATGTTGTAGTAGACCACGGACCAGGAAACCGTCGCCAGCATCGGCACGCGGCATGCCTTTGCGAAACCATCGACTGCGGCCTCGATTGTGAGCACGTCGCCACCATCGTCCCCAAACCCCAAAAATCCACGCGCCTTGAGCGCCTCGGCGCCCCCCAGCGGAAGCGCCGGCCCTGTGAGCTCGGACAACTGGTAGCACAGGATGGACACGACGATGCCCATGAGCATGCCCCCTGAAGCGATGGCGAAGTTGAACGGGCCCGAAAGCGGCAGCTCCATGAAGCCGAGGTGGACCATGGTCCAAGGGACAAGCACCAGAGCCAACTTCGCAGAGGCGGGACGCACGATCGAATCCTGAGCACTTGAGCACTGGATAGGGTCGATTCCGCGTGGTACGGGACCCCTCGATCGTCTCGCCCTCCCTCACTGGTGCGTTCATCGGGGGGGGTCATAACAAACACGGTACAGGATCGAATCCTCATTATTCATTTGGGGTGCCCTTCTCCTTTTTTATGTCAGCCGCCCACCCAGTCAGCCAGCGGAGGAGGGATGTTGAGGGTGTACACACACACACACACACACACAAGAAATCACGACTGACACTCACACACACACACACACACACACACACACACACACACACACACACACACACACACACACACACACACACACACACACAAACACACACACACACACACACAAGGCCCTCCCGTGAATTAGCACACACAAGAAAAAACAGGCAGAAAAAAATTGCCGATTTTTCGATGATCTCTCGGCGTGATCCCTCTCTGTGCTTTGTGGCTCACGAGCGGCCGCCGCTGTGCGCTGAGGCGTACGCAGCTCGGCGTGAGAGCGGCGGCGGCGGCGGCAGTTTGACAGCGTCCTGCGCCGCGTCCGCCGCTGCACCGCGCTCTCGACTTCATGCACTGCCAGCGGCGCCTCGCCGTCGTCTGCTGCGGCGTCGCTGCAGCGGCGGCTCACAGGTAGGATGCAGCGGCGGCGCTGCGATGGCAGCCTGGTCGCTGCATCCGCCAACTCCACGAGCCGCGCTGAGCGCCCGTCGGCCGGGACCGCAGATGCGAGCGTGCAGGCGGCGGCCCCCTTGGCTACTTACTTGCAGGCAGGCGTGACAGATCGCGGCAACGATGGCGGCCGAAGTCCGAGAATGGCAGTTGCCGCCGCCGCCCCCAATCGGGTAATTCAACCCCTCGTCCTCACTCGCATGATTCGCTCACGACGCGCGCGACCCACCCGCTCATATCCGCCCCGCGCTCCGCCCCGACTTCGGCCTCAGGCATCCACCTCGACCCAACTCGACTCGCTCAAGCCGCAGCCGCGCGGTCGGCGGCTCCGCTGCGCCGCCGCCGCCGCCGCGTGCTGCAACCACCATCGAGCCGGTGAGCTGCGGCTTGCATCCCGGCCTGTCCGATGCGTTCTGCCGCGTCCTGCTCCCTCTCTCTCAGGCTGGCTCGCTCCTGCCTCGCTCAGGCGGCAGTCTTGGCGCCGACAGCCAAGGCGCCGCGGGTGCAGAGGCGTGCCGACGCCTCCCCCCCCCCCTCCCTCCTCTCGTGCACGAGAAGTTGACCTGACCTACGCGGAGCCGTCTCGCAGGCGCGGCAGTTCGGGCTCCGTGGCACGGTCCTCCTCGGCCGCCTCCCTGTCGCGCGTCTCCTCGACCGCCTCCTTCGACTCGTCGTCCGACGCCGCCTGCTCCCCCCGAGAGCCGGCGGCGGTCGATCCGGCGCGGCCACGAGCACGCCCTTTAGTTCCCACCCCGGCGGCGACGGCGGAGGCGGGGGCGAGGGCGGAGGCGGTGGCGGCGGAGACGGCAGAGGCGGCGGAGAAGCCGGCGGAGAAGCCGGCGGCGGAGGAGTTCGAGGCGCACTACGCGATGCGCAAGCGCGACCGCGAGGAGTTCGAGGCCGGCGACACCGCCGCCGCCGCTGCCGCGCCGCCGCCGCCGTCCGACGCGCAGAGGTTCCTAGACACCTCCGAGCCGGGGAAGGCGGAGTCGGGGGCAGAGGCGGCGGAGGCGGCAGAGGAGGAGGCAGGGCCGGCGGAGGAGGGGGCAGAGCCGGCAGTTGAGGTGGCGGGGGCGGTGGGGGCGGCGGGGGCGGCGGCAGGGGCGCGGGCGCAGGCGGAGGCGGAGGAGGCAGAGGCAATGGAGATCGAGGCAGGTGCTGAGACGGTGGCGGAGACGGCGGCTTCCGATGGCTCGGGAAACGATGATTTGGAGGATGAGAGCTGGTCGCCGTCGCAGCTGCGCGCTCTGGTCGCCGGCGCGCCGCCAGCGGACACTTACGCGCGCGCCCGCCGCCCCGTGAGCCCGGCGGCGCAGACGGAGCGGTGTGCCACGGTAGGTGTCCTCCGGCTCGGCCCCGACCAGTTCGGGACGAGCTCGTACTGGCTCACCGAGCCGGCGCTCGCAGCTCGTCCGCCCGAGGAGGTGCAGATCGCCATCCGCGCCGTCGTGCAGCTCTGGCTCGAGGCGCAGCCGTCCTGTGGGCAGAAGGACGCCCCCGTGACGCTCTCCGACGTCGGCCTCATAGCCGCCGCCGACCCCGAACCCCCAGCCGGGCCTCGCTTCTCCAAAGCCTTCGTGAGCGAGCAGACGGGGCAGAGCGCGGTCGCTCTGCGACGATTGTGCTGGCTGGAGGCGGAGGCGCGCGAGCGGTGGCGCGCGGAGGTGTGGTCTGACGGCTCTGCCGAGTCGCCGACTGCGCCGCCGGCCCCTCCGCCTGCCGCCCCTCCGCCTGGCCCGCTGGCCACACCACCCGGCCCGCTGGCCGCTCCGCCGCCCGCCCCTCCGCTTTCCGCCGGCTGTCGTGCGGTGACCGTCCCGCGAGGGTACCGCCCGGGGCAGCTCCCTGCGATCACCACCCCCATGGGACTGATGCACGCTTGCATCCCAGCCGGCTGCATGCCCGGCTCGATGATCCACATCCGCCTGCCGTCCCAGCCGCCGCCGCCGCCGCAGCCGCCCCGTGCGTACTCCTGCAGGGTATGCAGAACGCCCAAAAAGGAGGCAGGTAGCAGGTGCCAAGTCTGCCACCCTTTGGACACCAAGGCGGCGGCGGAGAAGGTGCAGCAGTAGCCGAGATCTGGCCGAGATCGCGCCGATATCTAGCCGAGATCGCCGGCCGAGAGATGTCGCCGAGATCTAGCCGGAATCTGGCCCGCTCTTGTCTCAGGAGGCGGAGAAGGCGGCGAAGCGCGAGGACACGGAGGTGAGGGGCTCGTCCAGCAGCTACTGGGAGGTGAGGGGCGTCGTCCAGCAGCTACTGCGTGAGAAGGCGGCGGCGGTGAAGGCGGCGGAGAAGGCGGCGGCGGCGAGGGCGGAGGCGGCGGCGGCGGCGGCGGCGGCGGCGGCGGCGAGGGCGGAGGCGGCGGCGGCGGCGGCGGAGGCGGCGGCGGCGGAAGACCCGGCGGCGGACAAGGCGGCGGTGAGGCAAGCTCTCCGACCTCCCAAGCTGTCGGGTGAGGCGGCGGCGATTGTGGCGTCGGCGAGGGCGGCGGCCGCCGCCTCGGCGGTGGCGCTTGCGGCAGTGCGAATCGTGCTCCGTCAGAGGTGTTTGCCTGAGTGGCACCAGGAAGAGCAGTACCGCCGGGAAAGGCGCTCGCTCCTCGCAGGACCAACCGACGAGCGGGCGGGCGGGCTGCTGCTCCGTACTAGCGCGGCCTCCGAGACGGGCTACCTCGGCGTGCGCTTCCGGCCCGACTTCCGGCCCGGCAACGCGATCCACGAGAGGCCCTTCGAAGCGGTGGTCTCGCACCGGAGGGGCGATGTGACGCACCTCGGCTTCTTTGAGACGAGGTTTGAGGTGGCGATTCGATCGCTGGACGAGCCGAGATTTGCGTTCGGGAATCACTCGCACGCTCTGCCACAGGCGGCGTACGAGCTCGCGTTCGAGATGGCGGCAGCGTCGGCGGATTACCATTGGCAGCGGCGATCGCTGCTTGTGGGACCCGTCGCCGAACAGGCCGACGGGTCGCTGCTCCACACGAGCCCGGCCTCCGAGACGGGCTACGTCGGCGTGCGCATCCGGCCCGACTTCCGGCCCTCGGACCACTCCGAGCCCTACCAGGCACTCGTCTCGTACTCGGGCGAGGGCACGACGCACCTCGGCTACTATGCGACGAGGGCGCAGGTGCGGCAGCGCCAGTGAGATGATTCGAGATTTGCAGTCGCATCATTCGCCCATCTGCCGCAGGCGGCGGTCGCCTACGCCATCGAGCTTCAGAGGCCGGAGCAGCTGAGGCGAGAGGAGGCTATCGCGGCGACGGCGCGCGACAAGCTGCTCAGCGGCTCGCACATGTATCTCCGTGAGATACGCCACCGCGAGCGCTACCCGGGCGACATCGGGCCGATCCGATTCGAGGCGCGGTTCCAGAAGCACCCCGTCTACGGCTCGGTCTCCAAGACCTTTCGCCCGAAGAGCGCCGCCATCGCCTTCTTCCACGCCTACATCGACGCGACGCACCGCGGCGCCGGCCCCACCGGCGCGAGAGAGGCGGGCACCGTTGCCGCCCTGAGAAGGGACGTGCGGGCCGTCCGCGCGGGCGCGCAGGCCTTCGCCGAGCGGGCAGAGGTGATCGAGGAGCAGCTTCAGGCGCTCGCGGTGGCGGCCGCGATGCCGGCAGCGCTCGACGCGCAGGCGGCGGTGGTTGAGAGAGCGGCGCTCGCGGGGCTGAAGGGGCTGATGGGAGAGCACGCGGCGCAGGCAGCGCTGCGGCGCTGGATGACGGCCTTCGCCGAGGTGTCCGCGGAAATGGCGCGCAGACGCCGGTGAACAGTCCAGAAGAGAGGGGAGAGAGAGATATCTGCCGCGTGCCCTGATAGGTGCAAAAGCTGGGCCCCTACAGCGCCGAGTGCTATTGGCACTACCTGTACAAGTCGCCGCCTCCCGCTAAGTGCTGTTGGTTCCCCCCGGCGATGGCCGCGGCGAGGACCGCGCCCGACGCGGCGGCGGCGGTGGCAGCGGCGAGCGCCGTCGTGGAGGGGATCGAGGAGGGGAGGAAGCGCACGCGTGGTGCAATCCAGGCGCGGAAGGAGGCGGCGTTGAGGGCGGAGGGGGAGCGCAAGAAGGAGGCGCGGCTTGCTGCTGCGAGCGCTGAGGTCGCTCGGCGCAAGGCGGACGCCGCCGCCGGCTTGCCCGAGCACGAGCAGCTGCAGTCGGCGGCGCTGAAGGAGGAGGAGGAGGCGGCGATGGCAGCCGCACAGGCGGATGCTGCGTCCGCCGCGGTGTGGCGGAGGAAGCAGGCGCGGGCGCTGCTCTTCGCCCGTCCGGTGCCCTTTCCGCACCCGACCACCGTCGCACTCTCTTAGTCGTCCCAGTTGATTGGCAACTTTCAGCGCGTAGGACAAGTGGGGCGACGAGACGGTCGTCGGCGCTGCAAACGTCGTGCAAGGGGCGATGAGGGCGAGGCTGGCGTCGACCGGCACGACCTCTGGCCACATGCCGTGCATGAAGCTGGAGTGGCTGCGCGACATTATTCGCGAGTGGAACGACGCACGCGGCGAGGTCGTCTTCACCGAGGCGATGCTGCAGCATCGCGTCTTTTGTCGGCTCGCGCGGACTTCCGCGTATTGCTGCTTCAACCTCCGGGAGGCGGCCGCCCTCATCTGCACCGGCCGGCTGACCCTGTGGATTCGCGCGCGGCAGTTCCTCTTTGGACCCGAAGCCGATGCCCGCGAGGCGGTGGCCATCTTCGCCGCGCTCGGCGCCCAGTCGGCGATTTTAGCTCCCTCACGCGGCCGCTGCCTCGCTTCCGCCCCTAACCCAACTTTGGCCCGATGTAGGCGTCGCTTTACGAGGTGCTCAAGTACTCAGGGCTCAGCTGCTCCGCTTGCTACGACGCCGTTCTCGACGTCGCCGCGGGCCTGGAGAAGGAGGGCGGCAAGTTCTGCCTGGAAAGGGCTAAGGAGCTGCTCGCTACGGCTGAGAAGAGCCCCGAGCTGACGGTGGGCAGCCCGCTCGAGCCCAGCCGGTTCGACGACTAGAGATAGTCAGTGGCCTGGCTGCCGGGTACGCTCTACCCTCTACGTGGGAGTCTCACATGCGCACATGATGTGGGCGGGTCGGCTAGGTGGGGAGTTCGTCTCTCGTGTTGGACATTGCATGCCTCTTCGCCGCCACCCACCCTCCCCCACCGTCCCCTTCTGTAGCGCGGAGGGGCGTAAAAGAAAAAAAGGTCTAATTGAAACAAATTAAAAGTTTTAAAGGGGCACAAGGTACGCGGCGAGGGAAAAGGGAGCAAAGAGGGGCAGCAAAAGGGAGCAAAGAGGGGTCAAGGCGCCGAAGACCTCCGCAGTAAAATGGGTGAATCTGCGAACTTTGCCGGCTCGGGCCAGAACACAAGCCCGGGGTAGGTAGGGTAGGTCTGGGCCCTGCCCTTGGGGTTTTCCCTCTCTTCGCGCTGGAATTTTCATCACGATGTCAACCCTCCCCAAGTGAGGAGAGAGAGAGATTTTCATTTAGGAATTTGTTTGTGAGATTTTAGAAAACCAGCAAGAAATCACGACTCTCACAGTGATTTGGGCTCGGCAGCTTGTCAGCCCTCAGCCGAAGCTGGGGCCGGTCCCGTAGCCGAGAGAGCCCGCGCCGATGAGTTCGACGCGGTCGGGGGGGCCTGCGGAGAGGCCAGCGAGATGGCGATCGCTGTACTTCACATGGTGTCATCAAGTGACTGGCTGACTCGCCAGAGGTCGATACTCTGGTGTCTGGACGACCCATAGGATGCCACGAATGCCTGGAGGAGAGGGAGGCGAGGCCAGAGGCAGGCTCAGCTGCTCTCGGGTGATCCCGCTTTGGTGGCTGAAGGACCCGATGGTCCTGTCACATTCGTGTTCCGAGTCGTGGGGGTAGAAGAATTCGAGTAGAAATCGAGTCAGCACTTCCTTGTGTAGTACAGCGGATCGCCAGGCTCGCCGGTAGCATCCGCAGGGAGGCAGCATATGAGGCACCAGTTTTCTGGAGAGCTCGACAGCTGCGGCCGCGATGGCAGAGTCGGCCGCGGTTCGAGCGAGCAGCTTTTGGCTGCGGGATCGAATCGCGGAAGGCTCATGCCCTCGCGGAGCGACGCGGGTCGCGCGGCGCGCGCGTGTGCGAAATGCGACAAAAGACGAAAGACGACAGGCGCCTGAGCGCTGTACGCCTGAACTTTTGTCGCCGCAATCGCCACCGCCGCCATCTTGACGAGCAGCGCGAGCGCGCTCGTCGGCGGCCAGCCGTCGCGGGCCGGGCCGAGCCCGGCCTCGACCGGCCGCGTCGGCCGCAGCAGGCCGGGAGGCCCGAATGGCGGCCGACCACCTTCTATGTGAGGTGATCTGGTGCTTGTAGGGCTTGAGAGTGGCCTGCCATGTCACAGGAAGGACTATGGTTGCAGAAGAGTACCACCAGCCATCACTTTAGTTGGTATAGTACCCCACCTTCACCGATCCGGTGATTTCTTTTTAGTTTCGCATAAGCAAGGTAGGTAGGTAGGTAGCTATGCGCGAGCTGCTCGACCGGCCCGCTTGTTGACGGAGGAGGGAGGATCTCGTCCGCCCCCGATGGTCCGAGTACCCTCACGCGTCCCAGCAATTCACGCCTCCCTCGCACTACGTGGGCCAGCGCTGCACGCCACGTGGGTCACGCAGTTGGCTGATCGCTACTTGCAACCGCACACGATTATGGTGCATGTGTCTGATGGTCGCTCTGCGAATGTGACAATGGTTACGCTGAGTGTGCGAGCGCATTTGCTGCTGAATCCTGAGAGCAGAAGGGTAGCCAAGAATAGCCCTGGCATCCTCGGCGTTCACCTGAGCAATCTGGAACTGCTTCTGCATTCCGAAATCCACCCCGACGACGATGACAAGTTTGTACTGGTGGCATCAAACCAGCAGTTCTTCCGCCCCTGCCGAGAGCATGTGCTGCAACACAGCCTCTCCTTCTCGCTAGGGCAGACGGTCGATGTATGGAAGTCCAAGAAGGACACGCATGAGGGACTCCCTTTCCCCAGCCCAAAATGGCGGGCATTGATGGCGCGGCTGCCTCGACAGGACGATGCCTTTATCCAGAACAACCTCTGGTTCAAGAACTGGGTGGCTTGGATGCACTCAGACGCGCGGCCCGCAGGCTGGGATCGCAGTCCGCTCACATACATGCCGCACGAGGGAACCTTCTACCCTCTGCATGTGGTGCGCGCCTTCTCCGCCCTACTCGCGGGCTCTGCACTTGACGTGCATCGGCCCTGCCCGTTTAGCGGAGCGTGCTTCTACGAGGAGACCCTGCTGCCCACATTCGTATGGCAGCGATACCCACAACTCCTGAACGGAAGCAACGGGCCTCCAATCGTGCTACGCGTCTGGTCGAAATATAATGTCAGCATCACGCTCACCAAGTTCAATCTGCACAGCCCGCACCTGCGCTACATATGCGCAGTCAAGGCCCCCGGTCAGACCAGACCTCCCGGTCTGGACGAATGGGTTCACAGCCAGCACTTGGAAGGCACATCTGCCCTGTGATTCAGCCCTGCCATGCAATTTACCAGCCCTAGCATACGTACACAGTCAGGAGTGGCGGCCCCCTCCTTGCCTCGCTCGCGACCCATGCAGGGGAAACAGGAGCACTAAGGGCTGGCCCTGCTGTGCTACGGTGGATAGAGGTCACAGAGCGGCAGAATTCAATAACAGCACAAACTGTCATTCACCTCTCTTTACCTACCTCCACCTCGAACAACAACGGCTCTGCTGGGAGGTGGCGGAGGGAGCTGCTACGCTGGCATGCCGGTGTGCATTGCAAAGCCCCGTACGGCTTTAGTGGCGTGGGACGCGGAAAGGCGATTGGTCGCGCTGCGGGTAGTGGCGCTGAGGGTGGTGGGGGTGAGGGCGTTAGCGGGGCGGGCGGTGGCGGGGCGGGCGGTGGCGGCATGGGACGCCGGCGGCGGCATCGAGCGAGGGCCGGGAGCGACATCTTCTACGCTGCAGGACCGCCGTGGCCCTTGGGCTCGCAACGCGGTCACAAACTTCGCAAATGACGAGCTGCGCGAAGTGCCCTGCCAGAACTGATCCGCCTGCGTGCACACGGCTAAATCAAGGATCATCGTCTCGATGTCCGATCTCATGATTCCCAGCTTTGAATCCCTTGCCCACGCTGCCCGCTGGTCGCTGGTGAAGAACGTTGTGGAATGGACACAACGGCCCTCGCCGCACATGTCGCGCAGCTCCTTGACCTGCGGCGCAAATTCTTTCATCAGCGTGCCCCAGGACACATCGGCCGCCAGGTAGAACAGAGGCGGTGAGGTGTTTTGATGCTGTCGCGCTCGGATATACTGCAGCGGCTGCGTGACGGCACTTCGCACAAATCCAGCTGGACTTTTCGTCTCTCCTCTCCCACTTCTCACGTGCACGCAATGGAACGGCCTTCGATTCTGCGGCGGGCCCATTTGGATGCCCCTCGCAGCAAGCAGCGCGATGGTTGCGCGTTGCAACGACGTCGTCAGCTTCCACGGAGCTAGAGCAACTAGTTCGCGACAGTGAGTGCTGCGGAAAGACGCCGCGTCAGGCCTGACCAGGAGCCCAGACGAGTTGCTGGGAGCCAGAGGCGGCCTTTTCAGATCGCAGGCAGGCCGCACGATCTCCAGATCAAGGCCCTGCCGGCCCTGTCCTTCGCCCGAATAAATGCGTCCGAAGTGGAGCACGTCCGCGCTCTGCATCGGCGGCAAAGTGATGCGCCTCACCAGTTCGTCGGCACCCCAACCCTTGCTCATCTGCGCACAAAAGGGAGTGTAGACGTCGAGCGCGCCACGGCTGTATAGCTTCTCTCTACCTGCACGCCACGCCACATATTGCGCGTACGTGACGGTCCGCAGCGGACTCATTTGGTCAAAATCAACCAGAGAGCCCCAACCGGGCGAGCCCGTTGACCTTTTCCACACACTCTCAGCTTGCTGCGCGAGCTGAGTGACCATTCCTAGTGCGCTGGCTGCCGTGCATGTTTTCCCGGAGTATTTGCCGGCGAAGGCAAAGTGGGGAAGGATCGGAGGCAGCACCAGTGTCCTTCCTGAGCTGTAGGCCAGCCACACGGCCGACTGCAGCCCATACCACTGATTTCCAAGCCCGCCGGTTGGCGCAAAAAGAAGGAACTGATTCGCGCTGGGCAGCAGCGGGCACTCTCGAGAAGTGCCTGGTAGGGTTGAGCTGTTGGGTGGCAACGGCGATTGCGGCCGACGGAGCGACAATGACGGGAGATGTCGCAACGGCGAGCGCGGCCGAAGGAGCGACAATGACGGGAGATGTCGCACGAGAGGGGGCGTATGCGACGCTGATTGCGAAGCTGTCTGCGAGGGTGTGTGTCGTTGGGACACCTCCATTTGGCTGCTTGGAGTCGCGGCCGCGAGAAATGACGGGCCGAACAAGAGACTCAGAGCTGGCATCGTGAACGCGCTGATGATGCGCGTGCCGCCGCTTTTTAAAATTCTTTTTTCGCCCACGGGAGAACGGTCACTCTCGATTTATAATCATCCAGGGCGGACGCCGGCGGGGGCGGAGGGTGCTCGAGCGGGCGGGCGCGAAGGCCGGGCGAGGCGGCGGGCGAGGCGGCGGGGCGGCGGGCGACGGGCGGCTCGCTTCGTTCGCGGGCGCGCATCGATCATGAGGTGACTTGGACCACTAAGAATTGGCTGGGGCTGCAGAAGCAGCGTATCTCAGTCGTTCTTCAAACTGTAATCGCAGAGCAGGCGTGTGAATGAGCTCGCCTGTGGCGGGGGTGGGCGGGTGCAAGGAGCTAAGTGCCGCCACTCTCGCAGGAGTCGCTTAGGCGGCTCCCGTGGGGTACCTGTGTTAGTGCCAGTGCGAGCCAGTCCCGTGCCCAGTGTTGTGCGACGCAGATTCAGTGTTGTGCGACGCGGGGCCAAAATTCTTTTTTCGCACAAGCTGGCTGGGGCTGCAGAAGCAGCGCATCTCAGTCGTTCTTCACACGGCCATCGCAGAGCAGGTCGTGAATGAGCTTGCCTGTGGCGGGGGTGGGCGGGTGCACGGAGCTAAGTGCCTCGCCACCCTCGCAGGAGTCGCTTAGGCGGCTCCCGTGGTGTACCTGTGTTAGTGCCAGTGCGCGCCAGTCCCGTGCCCAGTGTTGTGCGAGCCGAGGTAAGATTCTTTTTTCGCGCACCTTGCGTGCGGGTGAGCGCGGAGTGGAATTCGCTGTCAGTGTCGCCGCGCTCTCGCATGGGCGTCAAAGGCCTGCATTCGTACCTCGAGCGGAAGCTGAGCGCCGACGCGTACCGGCTGCCACTCTCGGAGCTTCCGCGTCGCACCGGCTCGGACGTCGTCGTCGTGGACGGCATGGCGCTCATCCGCCGGCTGTACCCGATGGACTTCGACTGGGTGGGCGGCGGCCAGTTCCAGGCGCTGTACCTGTCGGTCGGCGAGTTTGTGCGCGCGTGGTCCGCCGCAGGCCTCCGCCTCATCGTCTTTTTCGACGGCGGCGTCGACGAGGCGAAGCTGAGCGAGTGGCTCTCGCGTCGCTCGCGCGACCTAGCGACGTGCGAAAAGGTTGCCGCCGCGGTGTCGCGCGGCGAGGCGGTGCGCGCGAGCTCGTCGTGCTGGGTCCCTCCGCTCTACGTATCCAAGTGGATCGGCGCCGCCTTCCGAGCACACGGCTGCCGCGTCGTCTACACGGCGGGCGAGGCGGACCGCGCCATCGCCGCGCACTGCGTCGGCCGGCGCTGCGCGGGCGTACTTGGCAAGGACTCGGACTTCTTCGTCCTTCCGGTGCCGCTCTACCTCGCGCTCGACTCGCTGCGCGAGCGCGGCGCGACGCCGTCCGTGGTCGCCTACCCGCGCCAGGCCGCCCTAGACGATGAGATGAAAAAAAATGAGATGATGTCGACCCGTTGTGGATGCGGGACGGAGTCTTGATGAGCCGCGTCTGTCTTCACGAAGAAGGAAGAGCGAATTCGGACGAGGGCGAGGGCGAGATCGACCCTGGCCTACGATTAGCTAGTGAAGAGTGGTCGCCCGCCCGTGCGGCAGGCCGTCCTCGAGGCGCTCGGCGTGCCGGAGGGCTTGCTGCCGCTCCTCGCCTCCCTCGTCGGCAACGACTTTGTGGAGCAGGCACACCGCTCGCCCACGCGCACTGGGCCTTGCACTCTGAATGCCGTGCCGGCTCCTGTCGTCTGTCGTCTAGACGTGGCTAGCCTGGCCCTTGCCCCCACCACCTCGTGTGTGTGGAGAAGTGTACCCGACCTTACCTCACCTCGCCTTTGTGGCGCAGGCACGTCGCTGCGCGCTCTGCGCGGCCAGACTCGTGACACACGGAGAGTGACGAGCGGACGGAGCAACAGGCGTCGCTGAGCGCTCTGCACGGAGCGCTACTGCCCGGCCGACATGCGAGCGGAGGCCCGCTGATTGAGGTCGGGGCGGAGCTGCGCCTGAGTAGTGACGAGTGGAGGAGCCGGTGACTGATAGGCCCGCTGATTGAGGCCGTCGGGGCGGAGCTGCGCCGCGCCGCGGGCGCGGTTTGTTGGGACGGATCTGGGGCGCCGCCGCTGCAGCTGTGGGAGGAGTTGGGCGGCGGCGGTGGTGCGGTTCTGGACGCGGTGGCGAGGGGGAAGGTTGAGGCGAGCTTGGCGCAGTACCCTAGAAGGGGAAGCCGTGCTCTTGTGATCCAGCCAGCGCTCGAGAGGACACGCGCTCCGCCGTCTTGGATGGTGCACTGGTCACACTGCTCTCGCCCCCCCTCTTCGGATTCACGCGGTGCTCCGATCACGCTCCATCAGACCGTGTCCCCGCCCCGATGCTGGTGAGTCCGCGGTGCCGTTAGCTTCCAGCGCGCACCTTCGTTTTTGTAGGCGCAGTCTCCGCTGCCCGTCGACGAGGCTTTCCCCGAGATCACCCGAGATCACCCGAGATCGCACGAGATTAGGCGCAGTATTCGCTGCCCGTCGACGACGTCGCCGCTGCGGGTGAAGAGGCGGACGGTGACGTCGAGATGGCGGCAATAGAGGGCGGCGGCGAGGGCGGCGGCGAGGGCGGCGGCGAGGGCGGCGGCGAGGGCGGCGCGGGCGCCGGAGGAGGAGGAGGAGGAGGAGGAGGAGGAGGAGGAGGAGGTGGTGGTGGTGGTGGTGGTGGTGGTGGTGGTGGTGGAAGAGGCGGAAGAGGCGGAGGAGGCGGCGGAGGCGGCGGAGGCGGTCCTTCGGCGCTGCTGCTGCGCCGCTACCGCGAGGGGCGTCTCGACTCGGCCATCCTCACCGCCGCCACGCTGCGCGCGATCTGGCGCGGGCCGGGGGCACCGAGCCCTGCTCACAGCACGAGGTGTGAACGGCGTCTCCCCATACCCAGGCGCGGGCCGGGCATCGAGCCGCTCGGCGGTGCGACGCCCGCTGTGCTGAGCTGCGCACCGCTCCGCGCCGAGGTGTATGCGCTCTGCGTGCCGCCGCTGAGCAGGGAGGCCGCCGGTGGCGAGGGCGGCGGAGAGGGCGGCGGAGAGGGCGGCGGAGAGGGCGGCGGCGGAGAGGGCGGCGGCGGTGCAGCGGCGTCAGTGCGCGAGTACCTCGTCTACTCGGGCAAGGCGGACCCGGCGGCGCCGAACGTCGTGCGTGTGCCGGCGCGCGAGATTGCGCGAGATTGCGCGAGATTGCGCGAGATTGCGCGAGATTGCGCGAGATTGCGCGAGGTTGCGCGAGATTGCGCGAGATTGCGCGAGGTTGCGCGAGATTGCGCGAGATTGCGCGAGGTTGCGCGCCACCCGCCAGCCCCTCCTCAGCCTCACTCCTTGCTTTGCGCGGCTGGCGTCCGAGATCAGCCGAGATTACCCGAGATCAGCCGAGATCAGGCGCGGCCGGCGTGCGTCGAGAGATTTGATGAGTATGCGAGGCGCGCGCCCCATCTCCGTGGCTGTGCCCTACAAGGCGCGGCTGGCGTCCTTTGACGCCGCGGGCGCCATGCCGCCGCACGCGCGCTGCAGCCTGCTGCTGGCCCGTCTCGACGAGGGCACCCGAGATCAGCCGAGATCTCGCGAGATCAGGCGCGCTGCAGCCTGCTGCTGGCCGCTCTCGCGCGCGCGTCTGGCGGAGACGCCGCGCTCGCCGGCCTCGACCCCGCCGTCGTGATTGCCGCTGGGCCGCCGGTGCTAGCCGCGCTGACTCTCCGCTTCCTGCGTCGCCGCGGCTTGCTGGGCGGCGGAGGCGGCGGCGGCGGAGGAGGAGGAGGAGGAGGAGGCGGCGGAGGAGGCGGAGGCGGCGGAGGAGGAGGAGGCGGCGGAGGAGGAGGAGGCGGCGGAGGAGGCGGAGGCGGCGGAGGAGGAGGCGGCGGAGGAGGAGGAGGCGGCGGAGGAGGAGGAGGCGGCGGAGGAGGCGGAGGCGGCGGAGGAGGAGGCGGCGGAGGAGGAGGAGGCGGCGGAGGAGGAGGAGGCGGCGGAGGAGGAGGAGGAGGAGGCGGCGGCTGCTTGGCACCGATGGTGCTACTCGCGCAGGCGGTAGTCCTGGCGCGGCTGGACGTGCTTCGGGACCGGCTGAGGCATGCGATTCCCCGAGAGTCCGCGAGAGTTCCCGAGATCGCCCGAGATTCCACGAGATCACCTGAGCTCACCCGAGATGATCCGAGATCACCCGAGATCACCCGAGATTGTGACGTGCCACACACTCTCGGCTGAGGCACGGCCCGGAGACGCGCGGTGAACCGCGAGTCCTTCTTTCGCCTAGAGCTTCTTTCTGCAGCATATGCTACCAGGTCACAGTATGGGTTCGGGACGTATTCACAGCAGTGCGGGGGTAGGGGACCCCCCCCCCGGGAGTACCAGTAGTATATGCACAGTATATGCGTGTGACCATGTCAGGCCCGGGCCAGGACCTGTCCTGGACACGTCTCGGACGGGGGGGGTGTTCGGGACACGTCCGGACGCGTCCACTGTACACAGCCACTGCACACAGCCCTCTCGCCTGTCTGGTCGGCAGTCTGCAACCCTAGCGTCACGTGTGCAGGCATGACCCGGAGGCACGCGCACGCGCCGCGTGCCCCTCCCCTGACGGCCTCGCCGCCGCCACCCTCTTCCTCCGCGCCTCGACCGACGTGATGCTGCTCAACTCTGGCTGCGGCGAGATCCGCCGAGATTCGCCGAGATCACTCGAGATTGCCCGAGATTGCCCGAGATTCATCGGGCTGCGGCGAGCCGCTCGCGAGACTCTCCGAGATCACCCGAGATCACCCGAGATCACCCGAGATCACCCGAGATCACCGGAGATTAGGCGAGCCGCTCGCGGTCGCCGGCGCGTGGCAGTTTTACGACGGCCCCACCTTCCACGCAATGCTGCACGCCGCGCGGCGCGGCGCGGCGCGGCTCCGGCTGCTCCGCGGCGACGCCCTGCTCGCAGGGCTCCTGGCCGCCCTCGGCCCGCTCGCCTCCGGCTCAGACGACGCGGCGAGGTTGGGGGAGACGTGCGCCGAGGCGGCGCGGCTGTGGGCCGAGGCGGGCGCCACTCTGGGGTGACACTTGGTGGTCCGGCGCCTCGCCGTTTGGGGGGAGCGGCACCCTCCTGCGTCCTGGCTCCTGCGGAGTGCTCCTGCACATTGATCAGAGCAGCCTCATGCACCAACCGCTCGCCAACTCTTTGATCTGAGGTAACGGAGGTAAGGTAAAACCTCTCCACACACAAAAGGTGGTGGGACAGAGGGGGGGCGACCCTCGCGTCTCGCGACTCCACATGTCATCTAACTTCACTTCGATCTCGGCGGTCGGTCACCGGGTCAGCGTCTCACAGCCGGTCGAAGGTTGGGTCGCCACACACCTGCTCGAACTTAGCGACTGGGGCCTACGAAGAGCAACGCGATCGGGGACTGAGCCCCTTTACTGCTGCCGCCGCCCCGCGCACATGAAAAACAGGGCAAGCGCGCCAGGTGCCACGTGCCCGAATTGTCGAGGCAGGCGCTGACCATGAACTCGCCGTTGGAGCGGCCCTCGGGCCCATCTGTGTTTCGGCCGTGCGAGAATAGCTCGATGTCGTCGCTCATGAAATCGACTTGGCACGCGATGTCGTCGAGGAATGTGTAGTCGCTCATCCCGGCGGCGCGCAACTCGTTCACCTTTTCAACCTGCTCGCACGGGTGACAGGTGGAAGAGGGGTTGCTCACACCGCCGTGCGTCGAATCAGCCCATCAAACGGACGATTGGCTGTGATAGCGCGCAGATCTGGTCGAAGTAGGACTCCGGGGACTCCTTACCACAAGTGCCGTGCTTGCGCCACTCGTGGTTGACGAACCACAACATGTAGCGCGTCTCGAGCTTACTCGCGATCGGGCCCTTGTACGAGTTGTAGCAAGACGGGAGCTCCTAAATGATTCAGTCAGCAGACATCCTCACGCCAGCGCGCGACTCGACGGGGCAACGTCTTGACCCCGCCTTGACATTGTAGCACGAAGGAATGGCATAAGCACTGTCGCACTTGTTGGATGCGCAGTACGCTTCCGGGTCAAAGACCCAGTCCTGGTCCTCGCAGGATTGGGCGGTGCCGGGGTACTCGGGCAGGACCCACTCTTCGCCAGGGATGTAGCTGTTTGAGGTGCCGTAAATGTCCCAGCAGTAGCTGTCGCCATAGGGCGGCCCTTCAAACCAGAGGCCGTGCACCTTGGCGCCAGGGAGCTCATACGGCGGGTTTGTCTGGTCGGTCTCGCCCGAGTTGGCATTGTCTTTGTCAATCGCGCCGCCTAGCCCACCGTATGTACCAAGTCCTGTGTCGATGGCGAGGACGCCGCACTGCCTGACTGTGCGGCCACAGTTCATGGCCGGCCCGTACGGACTAGGATACTCTGGGCACGTGCCGCGTGCGGTCAACCCCGAAGGCTGGAGCATGGAAGCCGTGTCGATTTTATCTGCGATTTCGGATAGGCCAAAGATGCTGTCGACAGTGTATGCCTCCGAATAATGGGCGGCAAGTGCGAGGCCAATGGCCCACGCGCAGGGAACGCGGCGGCTCTCCATGCTGGGAGACACGAAGTCGATGGACGGACGTGTGGGTACGGATGTGCGGCCCGTCAAATGGCTGATTTTTAGGTTTGTTGTTGGCAAATCAAGACACAGAGCTCACACAGAATCACAGCGGGAGGAAAGCGGCGAGTCGCAATTCCTGGGGTCCTTGTGGCGGGCCACCCTGTCCAGAAAGGCATGGATGCCAATCTGGGGTCTCTCGACCGAGTCTATGAAGCCCTGGCCGCTCCCGGTGGTGGCAAGGTTATAGCTGCTGATACTCTGCTCATAGCGGTGGTTGAGGCCGATTGCCTCAACTGTCAACCACGTGGTTGACAGAGGCCTCAACCCTCAACCAAGTGGTTAACAGACCCCTTCAACCCCTCAACCACGCGGAATGGCTGTTCACACCCCCCGACAACAAACACACACTCTCTCTCTCCCCCCGCGCAAAGGTCTGAACACACATTCTCTGTGAACCATTCATGTCGTCTTCTTTACACTTTAGACGCCTGGATGCTGCATTTGACGCGCCGTTTTTACGAGCACTTGCTTCAGCTACGTGCGTGAATGGGAGGTGTGTGATGCAAAGCCAGGAGGAGCGCTGACAGCCATCGAAGGCGGGCCCCCGCACGGCGCGGGGGGTCCCGGCCGACGTCATGGTCGTCCGCGGACGCGGCCCTCCGTCTCCGGAGACATTACCGAACTCAAAACTGCTTACCAAAGGCGGATACGAGCTCAGCTCAGTGAGATCTAGCAGCACATACCCTCAGTATCCAGAATAGTAAAGTCTGAAAAAGTCGGTCCGACCGCGCAGAGCTTCCGTCCGAGCCCTGAGAAATGTCGGGCGGAGGCATGTCGGCCCATGTTCGCGATTTTGATGGCGTTGCCCTTATTGCACGTGAAACAGACCGCGCCGGCCAGCACCCTTGTTCCCGGAGGCCAACTCGAACAGGTTTGAGCAATGTCGCCTTCCATGCTCGACACGTCCGCCCGCCATCAAGTTGTAAGTTGAGTGGCAAAATGCAGCAGGAACTTAGTTGCCTCAAAGGCCGCCTGCTCTCAGGCCGCCCTGCTCTCGGTATTGTGTTGTTGACTGATAGCACTGTCTGATCCAACCTCAGAAAGAGCCGTCGAAGAGCCGTCGAGCTACATGAGACCCAAGTCGTCGATGATGTACCAGGAATCGAAACTAGCGCCAAATTTGTGACTCAGGATCGACATTGATTTCTCGCCCCTACTTTCGCTGCTTGAGACTCGCCAAATAGATCCTGCGTCTATGACCGTGTGCAACGTCAAGTCGTGAACCGCGACAAGACCATCGCGCCAAGCGCGACTCTGTTGCTTTAACCTTTATGCGGCAGCATTCACCGTGACTCTTGCCGTGGATGGTTAGTGACCGCGGTTGCTTACGCAATACTACGCCATGAGCTGAGCTTCACCAGCCGTTTCTCTTCCTTCCCTTGCCTTCTCTTGCCGTCCGTTCTCTGTGCATTCCACTGCATGACGCATCACAAGCGTCTTCTGCCCAGCGGCCGAGGTGCCAAACCAATGATTTCCCCTCGATTCATTCCGGTTTGTTTTTTGAGCTTAGCCTTCGATGTAATGAAACAACGCAAGGCGGACATGGCATATCGCATCGCTCTCGGGCCCACAGACATCCCGCACACTCGCCGCACACCCGCCGCCCCCGCGCGCGCCCCAGCCACCCACCCCGGCCACGGGAGAAAGGGGAGTGACAGTTGAGCACTTGAGCACTGGATAGGGTCGGTTCCGCATGGTACGGGACCCCTCGATCGTCTCGCCCACCCTCACTGGTGTGTTCATTGGGTGACAGTTTGGGACGGCAACAGACCGAGTATGTTGAGTCCTGGCTCAACAACGCAGATAAAGGACTTGGGTGGTCCGGCCCACAAGTCCGGCTCACGCGCCTCGACTGACCGATCTACCGCACTGAGCACTTGTGCCCCCCTGGTGCCCCCCCGCTCCCAACCCATCCGCCTCGCCTCGGGCCGCGCCGCGCGATCTCGGGCGATCTCGCGCAATATCGGGCGATCTCGGGGCCGCGCCGCGCTATCTCGGGCGATCTCGGAGCGACGCTCGCGCGGCGGCACACCTGCTCAAAAAAGGAAGGAGGTTGGAGGCAGGAGGTCACGCCCCATCCAGAGCGCCGTCGTCGCCGGTTTTTTGGCCCCCGGGTCGTCGCCCGACGGTTGCTGCGCGGGGCAGCAGACCATCGGACGGCGCGACGACGCCCCGTCCGGCACGCTCCCCCCTCCACCCGGCTATTGCCGCACGAGCGCGGCAACGCCGACGGACTTCCCGTCCCCCCACCTGCGCCGCAATCACCGCCGTGATTGTCGGCGCTGCGCCCCTTGGCGTGAGCTTAGCCTTCTATGTTATGAAACAAACGCAACACACACACACGTCCCGTGCCCCCGAGTTCATTTTATAAAACACACATACGCACAAGGCCATAATATAAAATGAACTCGGGGCTTCACAAGGCCATACCCCAAAAAAGTCCGAACCCAGCTGTCAGATCATGAAACTCGTGCTGTCTCTCGTCGTTTTCGCGTCAGGCCACGCTATCCAGGTCTTTGACGGCGTGTTTGCGCCGCCGACGTGCGAGGCGCTGAATGTGGCGGCCAACGCGCGCGGCCTGGGCCATGCTCTCTACACGCGCTCAGTCGGGCCGCGCACGGCGCTCGAGCACGCGTTCGAGTCCTTTCTTTCCGAGGTCGACGACGATTCTCCGCACGTCGAGTACTGGTCTCGGCAGGAGTGGAAGCACATCGAGGCCCACGCGGACGTCGACGAGGCGCTGGCCGCAGGAGGAGGCCCTCTGCGCTACCCGCGGCACGCTCACGTGCTCTACCTCGACGTGGGGAGCCGAGTGCGAGGCCCGACGTGCGTGTGGGAGGCGGGCCGTGGCGAAGACGGTCGCCCGCCGCGGTTCGCAGGCGCGATGACAGTGGTGCCCGCCGTCGCGGGCCGCGTACTCCGATTCGACGGCTCGCTGCAACACGCTGTCCCTCGCCCCGCTGACGTCTGGCTAGCGCCGTTTGTCATCTCTCAGTCCGGCCCTCCGGAGGACTTTGGCCGCTCGGTGGTGCTCTTCAACTGCTGGCCAGAAGCGGAGGCGCCGCCGCACGAAGTGCAGCCGGACGAGCCTGCCGCCGGCGTAGACGCCGCCTCGATCTACCGCGCCGCCCCGCGCGCGCAGTGGCGGCCGGCCGACCTGTCGCACGGGCCGCCACCGGCATCGTCGGGCGGGAGGGCAGCGACGATGAAGCTGTGGCTGCTGGGTGAACGGGAGCGGCGAGGCTCGGTCGAGCGGACGCTGCCCTTACGGGTCGACGCCGATGCAGTGCTCGCGGCCCTTCAGGAAGGGGAGGAGTGCACGAGGCTGGACCCGTGCTAGCATGCTAGAGGTGTTACTGCTATGCGACCAATTTTTGGAGCACTTCGGGAGCCCGTCCCAGTGCAAGATTTCTTTTCTGTTCGTCCTCGCGGGAGTCGCTTAGGCGGCTCCTGTGGTGTACCTGTGTTAGTGCCAGTGCGCGCCAGTCCCGTGCCCAGTGTCGTGTGAGTTCGTGTTGAAATTCTTTCCTGTGCGAGAGAGCTTGTGTTGATGGTTCGATCCTCCCCAGAGTCGAACTGGCAGCCACTCGCACCAAGGAGGCGAGGTGTGGCTACGTGACCCAGAAAACTGAAAAGGCCAGAGTCAGGAAGGAGCAACCCTCGAGGATTGAAGGGACTACATGATTACATGAAGGGTGGGGGGGGCCGTCCGCAGAGCTAGGCGGCGCGGGCACCCCCCACTGGGGCCGAGCGTAAGAAGCCGTTTGCCACTTGCTTGTTCTTGACCCAATTGGCACGCGCTGTCCGCTGAGGAGTTGAGCCAGTCTTTACGCCCATTGCGCGCCTGCTTGTTGATGTTCTCGGCGTCGCCCGCCACCGCCGCCATGGAGATCTGCTGCGTGTGGTGGACGACGAAGGAGGAGGCGCTCGCCGACGCCGCCCCGTACTCCGTCCGGTCCGTCTTGCTGCCCGCCGCCTCCTTGGCGAACACGTGGAGAAACTGCTTGGTGGGCGGTGCAACGCCACCCAAAGTCTGATTGATTGATTGATGGGAAGGCGAAACACAGTCTCAAAAAACAAAAAAGCAAGCGCCTCGCGTTTTCTTCGTGCCAGTGTGCTGTGAGAGAGGCTTGTCTTAAGAATTCTTCAAGGTCCTAGTGCCGCGAGCACAGCTCGTTCCCCGCGCTTTGGGGCAGCTAGAGCTCGCAGCGGAGCTCCGCGCTTTGGGGCAGCTCGTTCCCACGCGCCACGCTGGCCATCGTCTTACCCTTTGCCATGCCACACCACGTCGCGAGCGCGCTCGCACTGACCTACGTTCTCGTCGCCCGGCCACCGTTGGCGTGCCGTACAATGCGGGCGCCGCCACTGCGCGCCGGCCTCTTTGAGCGCATGAGCCGCGGCGGCGGCGGCGAGGGCGAGGAGGGTGGCGCCGCCGCCGACGCATGGGAGGAGGCGCTGACGGGCAGCGAGCTCTCGCGGCCGTCGAACCGCTTCTACGACGCTGTGACAAACATCTCGGCGCCGGAGCTCATCGGAAGCTTCGCCGAGACGGCTCCGCCCGAGGTGCAGCAGGCGGTGCGCTCGACGGTGGTCTCGCTGCTGGGCAATCTGCCGCCGCAGCTCTACGACACCTCCGTCGCCTCCACCGGCCAGAACGTCGCCTCTCTCATGTACTCGATGCAGCTGACCGGTTACATGTTCCGAAACGCAGAGTACCGCCGCTCGCTGGTCGAGTCGCTGCAGCGGGACGGAGGCGACTTGTGTGTGTGTGTGTGTGTGTGTGTGTGTGTGTGTGTGTGTGTGTGTGTGTGTGTGTGTGTGTGTGTGTGTGTGTCGGCCGCCATCTCCTGCCTCGCGTCCACCGCACACCGCGCATGTGTCCAGCCCCGAGCCTCTGGCTGCTCTTCACCTCTCTATCTCTACCGATCGTCGAGGGGTGGCGGCGGCGCGGCGGGTGTGGCAGCCCAGCTCGTTGAGTGTCTTGTGAGTGTGTGTCTCTGTGTGTCGCTGTCACCCCTTTGTCTCGCGTCCGTGTGTGCCCAGTCCAAGCCCCTGGCTGTCCTTCACCTTCCTTTTCTATCTGTCTCCAGGTGACTCAGCGGTGCTACCGCCGGTGGACGAGGCGGGCGCGGCGCTTCCGGAGGTGTCTGGCCTCATCAAGGTGACTCTGGGCGAGGGGAGACTCCCAAGACACCTACCTCTTGAGACACCTCTGAGACACCTCTGAGACACCTCTGAGACACCTCTGAGACACCTCTCTGAGACACCTACCTCTTCCTCTGAGACACCTCTCTCCACCTCTCTGAGACACCTCTCTGAGACACCTCTCTGAGACACCTCTCTGAGACACCTCTGAGACACCTCTCTGAGACGCCTCTCTGAGACACCTCTGAGACACCTCTGAGACACCTCTGAGACACCTCTGAGACACCTCTGAGACACCTCCGTGACACGTCCATGACCCCTCCAAGACACGCCCGAGACACGCCCGAGACACGCCCGAGACACCTCCGAGTCACTTCCGAGACATGTCCGAGACACCTCCGAGTCACTTCCGAGACATGTCCGAGACACGCCCGAGACGTGTCCAAGGTGAAGCTCGGTGAGGGGACGGAGGTGGAGGTGGAGGCGGCAGCGTACATGAGCGAGCTGCGCTCCGAGGTCTCTCGGCGACATCTCGGCGACATCTCGGCGACATCTCGGCGACATCTCGGCGACATCTCGGCGACATCTCGGCGACAGCTCGGCTGTATCTCGGCGACAGCTCGGCTGTATCTCGGCGACATCTCGCTACCGTAGGTCGAGGCGATGCGGGGCGAGCTGATGCGGACGCGCGAGACGACGCGCGAGGCGCAGGTACTTAATGAACTAATGAATGAACGAATTAATTCTAATTCATGCGAGACGACGCGCGAGGCGCAGGTCATATGAATGAACCAATTAACGAACTAACTAGTTAATTCATGCGAGACGCCCGGACACACACACATAACACACACACACACACGCGCGCGCACGCACCCGCACGCACGTACGCACACACGCACGCACACACACACACACACACACACACACACACACACGCACGCACGCACACACACAGCTCACCCACGCGCACCGGGCCGTGCACTTTCAATGCCGTGCCGGCTCCTGTCTTCTAGACGAGAAGTCGCGAGGGGCTAGCGTGGCCCTTGCCCCACCACCTCGTGTGTGTGGAGAAGTTTACCTCACCTTCCCTTCCCCTTCCCTTCCCCTTGTCCCTCAGGGGGGCGGGCTGCTCGCGTACATCCAGTCGCTCGGCCGAGACAAGCTGCAGTCGCTGACCTTCTAGGGGCCTGCCCGGAACCTTCCAGGAGCCTTCCTGTAGGCCGCGACAACCTGCAGTCGCTGACGTCGTCAATCTCGCAGGAGGCGCGCGGTGCGATGCGGCTAGTACTGGTGTAGTCCTGCCTCGTCATCATCGTCATCATTCTACTCCTGCTTCTCCTCCTCCTACCAAGACCGATGCGATCATGACTGTTGCTGGCTACGGTGCGACTGCTCGACTGCAGTCCGTTCTCCGCGCCCTTCAGGTGCTCGATGCGATGCGGCTCCTCATCGAGTCGATCTTGCGCGAGGCGGACGTCGGCGGCGACACCTTCATGGAGACGCCGGGCGCGCCACGCCGCCGCGCGAGCCGCTCGCCTTATTATTGATCGCTACTCCACCACGGGTCCCGCCATTGCTGATCACAGGCGTCAAGCTGCGCGAGCTGCTAGTCTGGCAGCTCGTCACCGGCTACCGGCTGCGCGAGCTCGAGGCGCGGGAGGAGCTCAACCGGGCGCTGACGGGAGAGCCGGAGTGACGGCGTGTGGGCAAGAGGTGGGATGCCTACACTTCCCCGTCCCTCTCTCAAGCCCTCTCTAGTACACGCGGGTTGTCGGTTGTTGCGCCCCCCGCTAGATCCGGTAGGTAGCCGCGAGCGTCGGAAGACGGGCTGCGCCGCCACATAGGAAAAGTCATGGAAACAAAAAGAGTGCGGGTGTCACCTGTCACTCACTCACACCGATCACCGTCCTTCCGTCGAACTTGGTGTCGGCGAAGAGGCCGCGCCGCCCGAACATGTGTGGAGTCGCGAGCCGAGGCGTCCGAGAGAGGATAAAGGATATATATGTCTATTCCGTGACCTACCGCGTCGGTCGACGCCCTCGCCCCTGCGCTCCACCAACGACGCCGTCGCTGTCCTCGCCGACGTGATCGTGATCCGAGGCCGCCCATTCTACGCCATTGGATGCAGCCGAGATGCAAAATCCAGAACCGCCGTTTTTTATGACCAAGACGAGCCGTCCCCCCCTTAACGGCCCCCCTTTGGACGCGTCCACCCTCCGTCCAATCGAGCCGTCCCTACTAATACATATTTTATTATGTGCACCTATAAACGAATGTGGCGCCCGCCGCCGAGCGAAGCCCCGCGCCAAGCGCCGCCCCGCCCTCGTCCCTCTACTGACGTAGCTCTACGGCTCTATGGCTAGTGCCATTTCACTGTGGCACAGCTCGCGTTACAAAACCTTGATTTGACCATTTGCGCCATTTTGTCCCTCTCGGTGCCTTCCAGAGGCAGCTGCGACCCCGCCAAGTGGACGGGGGCACTCGGCAGGTGGCGCAGAGTGCCCCCGTCCACTCGGCGGGGTCGCAGCTGCTTCTGTGCGTCCTGGGGAGGGACAAAATTGTCGCCGCCGGAGACGACTCGACGCCGCTGAGATTGGAGATCAAGCTCTGACAGGTCGCACGTCGCTCCTTTGACGCCGACGTGACTCACCCGTGCAGATCACATCAGGACACGGTCTCGACGCGCTCGGTACGACGCCTGCGACCCGTCTCGGGTCAGGTGGCACGACGCTCATCGCGCCTACCAGCGCTGCCGTACAGGTTGCCACGACGAGGTCGAGCACGCTTCTATACGCTCGCCGAGCCTTCCTTTCCATCCAATTAGGCAGCCTGGGAACGGTGGCGGTCAGAGGCAAAGCCTACGAGGGGTGGTGGAACCACATGTCACGGCTACTGCCGGCTCGACCCCACGATAGCCTCCGAAGGCTCACGGAGCCTCTCTGCTGCTTCGGGGGGGGTCTGCACCACCCGGCCGAACTTCATGGTGCTCCTCAAATACCGCTCAAACGCCCGCGATGTTGTGGAGGGGACATAATTATGCTGATGATCCTGGCCCGATTGGTTCGCTCAGAAAGCTTCTGGGCGGTCGTTAAGGTTCGCTCCCCGCACACCGGCCCGGAAGTATGGTACCCTAGACAAGGCACGAGGCATGGGCGAGACCGTGTGTGGGGTCATGTGAGGTGTCTATGGACGCTCTCCCCGCAAGGCTAGCTGCCTACTGCTAGCCCTAACTCGCACTCATGGGAGATGTCAATTCATTGTATGAGTGTATGCGAGCAGAGGCACGTGGGCTGAATCTAGATCGCACGCCGTGGCGTATGACTTGGGAGGCCGGCGACCGCAGCGCGCCCATCGTAAGGTCGACGGGGTGCGCGTGTCAGCGAGAGAGTTGCGGGTAGAGCCATGCCCGACTTTTCGAAGACGAGCCCCGCGCCACGGATGCCAGTCGTGCCTCCGCGGGAGCCGCCCTCGAGCCGCGTCCCGTCCGCACTGTCCCTGAGTGCGTCCACAAAAGAAGAAAAAGAAAAGGGGGGGGCGGGGACACACGATTCCAGAAATGGTTGTGTCCTCGCTCCTCGCTCGCCCGGGCGGAGGGCATGGCCGCGGAGGAGGCGCGTACGCGCTGCCAGGCCTTCCGCAGACAGCCTCTTGGCCAGGCTGAGGGTCGGCTTTGTGTGGCGTGGCCCGTGCGCTGCGCTGCACAAAGCTGCGTAAACTGCGGGAGCATCCTGTGCTTCCTTTGGGAAGTGCGCAACTCCTGCAGCTGGTGGAGGGCCGTGCCGCCGCTCGTCTGCTCCGTGGACAGGGCGGGGAGGCGACGCCGCAGCGCCGCAGCGTCCGCTGCACGCCGGTGCAGCACTCTGCTGCCTGGTGGGCAGCATGCTGGTGCTGTGCGCGACGTTTTCGAGGCTGCAGTGGCGCTGCACCGCAAGCCACGGCGAGTGGCACGCAGCATGCGCGGCGCCGCGCTTGGCCCGGACAGCGCCAGAGAGTGCCCTCGATGGGCCAGCCTGCGCGGCGCGAGCGCCGCACAAGCTGACGCATCGTCTGCCATTCTCTGGTCGACGGCGGTCAATCTCACGATTGTCGATCAAATCCGGCGGGCTTTGTGACGCCGTTTACGCAATCGTTTTTGGCTTCGCTTTCTCTTTTGCTTGTTTTTATTTTGTTTTTTCTTTTGCGAAGCGACGGAGGGGGGGGCGGGCGGGCGCTAACTACGGGCAACTACATGTCGAAGGTTCGAGGACGACTACTCGCCGCCTGGGTCGTTCGGGGCGCGCGGCTCCGTCGAGGACCGGGCGCGCCCCTTACCCGGCGCGGCGTAGGTCCCACTCTGACGTATAGAGGGGAGGCACGGACACCGGCCCAATTCATCAATTCCACTCATCTTCTGGTGCCTAGCCCCGTGCAGCGGCGGTCCGGCAGGCTGCCCCCAAGGCCCCCCGGGCCGCTGCGGGTTTTGGAGTTATGCTTTGGCACAGCTTCGGCGATGGCGGCCCCTCTCTGGGGCTTGCATAGGCGGGGAGTCTCCCCCGCTGGTCTCCTCATTCCCTTTTTTCTTTTTCTTTTGAGAGCAGGACGCCGGGTTTGTCTTGTATGTGCATGTCGGGCCTGGGTGTGTGTGAGGGGCAGAGGGGCGGGAGCGTGCGGGGCAGAGGCCCAACGTCGGGCGGCTTGTCGGGGTCCGGAGCATTCGAGGGGGGAATGAGGAGGGGAGAATGGGCGGTCGGCGTCGGAGTAGCAGGCCGCAGGGCGTACGGGGTAGCCGTCACTTTCCTGCCTCACAAGGGCGGGGCTGTCCCGGAAAGTGAGAGACGCCGGGCAGCGTGGCGCATTACTGAACCCTCCCATACGTGTTTGGGCTTCCTCCTTTGCTGTCCCATCTCCTCATCTCTTTCCCGCCTGGGCGGGGCGGTGGGCGGGCGCGCGGTGCGGCGTGGCGTGTGCGTGTGTGCGACCGCAACGACGGACCGCTCGCAGAGGACCATTGGGTTTGTACTATTAACAACGAAGGCGCTCTCAAAAAAAAAAAGAAAAAGCCTGCCGGCTCGAACTCTCGAAGATAGGTCCTACAGGTGGCGTCAATCGGTGGCCCAAAACGCATGACCTGCCCGGCTGCGCCAAAGCTCCCTCGCTTCGTCGCTGCTTCTCCTCTCGCTACGCCAGCCCCGCCGCAGCAGCATCTGCTTGGCCGCTTGCTCGGGCGCAGCAGCATCTCAAAGGGCCGCTCGCCACCGCCGCCGCTGTCAAGAAGCCCATCCGTCCCTTCGCCGCGCCGCTCGCCGAGGCTGTCGCAGCAGCGGAGGTCGCCTCACGTGCGATCCCCGCTCTCCTCCTCGGCACGGCACAGCGAGCCGCGGCCTCACTCCTCGCCGAGCATTCTCTACCGCAAGCCGTCTTCGTCCCACGGCTGGTCCTCGCGGCTCTCCTTCTCCTCGAGGGTGCACCCCCTGCCCTCCGGCGGCGCCATCCCCCTCCGGCGTCGACAGAGCTCGGGCGAGTCTCTCACTCTGCTGCTCGCCGTCAGCGTGGAGAAGTCGCCGCCGCGCTCCTTTGAGCACTCCCCGGGTCCTCGCTCAAACCGATCGCCGGCTCGACCGCACTGGCTGCATCGCGTGCGGTCATGATACAGTTCTGTCCATTTATGCCCACCGCTCGTCGGCTGCGTCGGACGGGGAGCGAGGAGCGCCTACGACTCTAAAATCCGGGCCGCGCGGCGCCTTCTCTCCACCACCGCTCCGCCTCCGGCGCCCCGCCTCTTGCCGCAGAGATAGGGCCGCGTGTACAGTGTGAGTGACCCGTGGGTCGGACTGGGAGAGAGGCTCCCTAGGCTCGAGAGACCATGTGTGCAATGCGAGCATGTTGGATTTGCGGAGGAGTGTGAGACTCTGTGGAGAGAGGTTTTTTTTGTCTCGTCTCTCGAGGCGAGCCCTGAGCTGGCGGTTTTTCCCGTTTCGGCTGTCGCCGATAGATTAGTTACGCATGAAAACCAAAGTGAGTGTGCGCCCTCTCTCTATACTCTAACTCGACTCTCCGCGCAGACGCCAGACTAGAGCGCAGAGGAGGCAGACTTTTGAGCGCCGTCCCTCAGAGCCCCCAGCCCCGCAGACGGTGCATTGCGTGATCTCTGTGTGCTCTCTGATCGCGCACAGGATGACAGCCCACCCACACGCGAGCCGCGCTGTGCGCACGGGAGCACGTCGCCCGCACTCCGCTCGCCGACCCACTCGCCCGCGTGCGGGCCGCCCCTTTCCTGGACGTTTCCTCGGCACCGGCTCTCTCCGGCGTCGCGCCTCCGCAGCACCCAAGGACGACGGTGCCGGAACGATGATGCTCAGAGCGCCTCGTGTGGCACGAGCACAAACGGGTCGCTCTGCTGCGGCTTGCCATCGGCCTCAAAGGAGACGGAGACGACGCCGCGCCACTTCTCGCCCATCAGCCACGTCGGGTCTTGCCCACTCTCGCCCGGAAAGATGAAGTAGTTGGTGCGCCCGCCGCGCATGTTTGGGGTGCCGTCCTCGTCCTCGTTCTGGTCGCCGTTCCGCACGCGCAGCTCGACCGTCTTCCCCTCGTGGCTCGCGAAGGTGAGCTTGACGACCGTCTCCTTCGGGATGTCAAAGGGGGAGGGCTTGCCGGTGCGCGCTTGCCACGACGTCTGCTTGCCCGCGCTGGCGTACAGCCACAGCTCGAGGTCGCCCGCATCGCCGTGCAGCTTAAGCTCGAGGAAGCCGACGCCCGGAAAGACGGACATGATGCCGTCGTTGCACGGGCCGGCGCCGGGGCAAAAGTCGACCACAGCCTCCTCCCCGCCAGCCTGCAGCACGAACTTGCTCTTTTTGACGGGGTAGAGGGGCGTGACGTTGAAGTGCCAGTGCTGCTCGTGGCCGTCGCCCGTCACCGGGTCGCACAGCTTCTCGACGTTGGAGCCGGGCGGGTTCGCCAGCCACGCGCCGCTCGGCACCACCTCTGCGCCGGCGATCCGCTCCACGCCAAACTCAGTCTCCTTGCCCGCCTCAATCTGCCCGTCGCGGTCGATCATGAAGGTGGCGCCGCCCACCGTGACGGTGCCGAGCGCCACGATCTTGGCAGACGTGGGGCCGTGCGTGTGTTCGTGCCCGGATGCGTCCACGTGCTTCACGGGCTCGGCCATCGAACGCGTGCAAAGGGCGTGGGTCTGCGGCAGAATTCTTTTCTGTTGTCGTTCTCCACACCGCCGTGGCGTGGCAGACGGTGAACGAGCTAGCGTGCGGGGACAGCGGCATTGTGCACGGAGCTAAGTGCATTGCCGTTCTTAACGGAGTCGCTTAGGCGGCTCCGGTGGTGTGCCGGTGATAGTACTAGCACGCGCCAGTTCGCACCTGTGTCGAGCCTGTCTGCTGTGAGAGAGAGTTGTTTTGTTTAAATTCTTTTCTGTGCCTCTTTTGGTATTGTGGCGTACCTGTGTCGAACCTGTGTGCTGTGAGAGAGAGTTCTTTTCGTTGAATTCTTTTTGAGAGGGGAAGGTTTTTTGGCGCGTGTGTGCATTTCCCGCGTGCCCGCCTGCCAGGGCTGATGCCAAGGCCAAATCAACACCATGCCCGGCTGATGCCAAGGCCAAACCAACTGCCCGGCTGGAAGGTGCCAAGGCTCAATGACTCTCCTCTCCTTCTCTCCCCCCCTCCCCTACTCAAACAGGGCCGTCCACAAGACCACACGACGCGCTCTCTCCTACCATCCGACAGACGTTGCTTGACCGACACGGGAAGCTCTGACAGGACAATTTTTTGAGCTTATTTATGAAACAAACAAACGCAAAGGCGGGATTTATTCGTATGCAGCATAGGCACCGGGTCTGGCAGCACCGGCTCAACGCCGCGCCCCGCGGTCGGTGCAAGCAGGGAATGTTCCCGCTGCTGCTCTGCTGCAGCCTCGAGTCGCGGTGCGGCCTCCGCACTCTCGGCGTTCGCCTCTCGCCCTGCTGCAGCATCCGTTCCCATCTCTGGCTGCCGTTCGCCGAGCGCCTCCTCAAAGCATGCGAGAATCTCGTCGCTCTGAAGGTCAGCCTCGAGCACGTCGTCGGCAGCGCGGATGCTCGCCCGGCCGGTCGGCCCTCGAGACCTCACAGTGGCGGCCGCCTCTGACAGCGGCGGCAGCCTCCCAAGCTGGCCACGCATCATGCTGCGCTTCGCGGCAATCGCGTAACGGGAGGCTCGCTGGCTTTTTGTGGCTTTTGGACGGCTTTTTTGGATTCTCCCGCCCTCCAACCCCTCTCTTGGGTTTTTTCTTAATAAAGGAGAAACAGCCGGGATGACTGCGGCGGCGCGAAACCGGCGCTCAAATTCTTTTGCGCAGCGCCAAGAGTGGAGGCGGGCTCTCCATGTGGCACACACAGTGATTTGGGCTCGGCAGCTTGTCGACTCTTGCTTGTCTCTAGACCTCAGTGGGGGAGCGAACTCTGACGGAGCGCGGATATATGAAAAGCTCTGTTTCATACCTTATCCGCCTAGTCACGGCTTCGCTGTCTGTTCCCTCTGACTGTGACTCGCAGTCAGCCGTCACGCTGAGCCCATGCAGCGTTCAGCAGCTACACAGAGTCGCGTCTACAGTCACAACAGCACGGATGACGCGCTCCGCATGGACCATCGAGCTGCCGAGCCGCATGGTAGTCGATTGCCACGCTGCGCCCATGGAGTCCTCAGCAGCTGCACCATGGAGTCGCTTCCGCAGTTGGAACCTACGCGACAGCTCAACGTGGATCGGGCCTACGTCCTTCTCTGGTCTCACTCGCCCGGGGTGGCGTGGCGCAGCTGGGCGGTTGGCGGCAGGTGCGCCTGTACGCGCGGCACTGCTGCCGCTTCATCGACTCTCGGCGACCACTCGTCGACTCGCGCTCAGACGCGAGGTGCGTGCTCGCTTGGTCCCCCGTGAGGGGACTAGGCCATTTTTAGCGAGATCGGGGAAATCACTCTCATCGCCCGCCACTCACGCTTCCCTCCCTCTCCCGCGCCGCCGTATCCGGTCCTAGCCTGCGATACATTGAGACCTCACGCCCCGCGACTGTCTCCCACGCTCGCAGGCGGGTGTATCTATCCGCCGTGCCACTCCATGCATCATCACCGCTGGGGGCACCGGTGCTCGTGCGACTGCGGATTCGGCCTCACCTCACGCCCTCTGGCCTGCAGCTGCACGTTGCCGGGGGCCATTCTCGAGCCCTCTGGCGAATGCCGAATGGGCCCAAATCCGGGCTCTGAGCACGCCTACTGCTGACGATCTATGTAGCTAGTGCGGTGGGGTCTGGCGCAGGTGCGCGAGACCGTCGCCACAGGGGGGGACGCGCGATTATGTGGGCGCTTCCGAGGGGGCGAAACCGCGTGTTCAAGGGAAACCAGGCGAATTGCGCCCCCAAAATGGTCCTGACGCAGAGCGGCTCCCACAACCTCCCCAACACCCGAGCTGCACGACACGACCTCAGCGCTTGTTCAAACACTAGCGACACAAGTAATTAATCGTGTGGGTTGTGTCATCGTGGAACAGCGCTCAAGACAGGCTCAAGACAGTCCAATTTCATGCACCTCCCTGCGCAGCGCGCCGACTCCAGAGCCCACTCACATCTCGAGCTGGAAACCTTCCCGCCCGCTCACCGCATCGTGAATCGCTTTCTCCCCCTCATCGCCCAAGTTGTTGTCGCTGAGGTCGATGCTTTTCAGCACCCCGTTGACTGTGAGAGCGCCGCCGATCGCCTTCGCGCCCTTGTCGCCGATCTCGTTTTCGCCGAGGTCGAGGGTTTTCAGCACCTCATTGACGCGCAGAGCGGATGCCAGCGCCTTGGCGCCCTCGTCGCCGATATGGTTGTAGTAGAGGCTCAGGTTGGTCAGCACCGCATTGTCCTTCAGCCAGAGAGCAATTGTCGCCACCTCCCCATCAGCAAGGCGCGCGTTCGACAAGTCCAACGAATTCTCGTCCAAGTAAACACCTCGTTGGCAGAGCAGCTCGATGTCTGCTTCTACCTGCGCCTTCTTCGGATCCGCCACGCACTCGTGCACCTGCACCACCCCGTCGTCCTCCTCGTCTCCCTCCTCATTATCTCCGCGAAATAGCCTCAGCACCACATCGTAGAGCGCAAACGCCTTGCGTCCGTAGGTGGCCAGCAGCTTGAGCAGCCCCAGAGATACATTCAGAACGTCGAGCGCCGCCGAGTGTTCAACAAAGTAGGACGGGTCGATCTCCAGATAGCGTGACATGTTGGCAACCACCTCGACCACCTCTCTGACAGGCGCCAGCGGATCCGCTGCGATCTCGGCCAGACGATCGGCGACCTTTTGCGCTGCCCCCAAAGGATCGCCTGTGAAGGCGACCATGTCCGCCATCAGGCTGTCGATAAAGGGCTGCAGACCCGACACGTCGAGCTGCAACGTGGCGAGGAACGCAAAGGAGTCGCCGTATACAACCTGTGCGTGCCAGATGACGCGCTCGATGTACGCGTCGTCCTGCGAGGTGAAGAGGATGAGGAAGCCGAGCGCGAGGAGAAAGATGACGTAGACGGTGAGGACCACGTTGAGGTCTGCGTCGCTTGTGAACGAGAGGTAGATGCCGCCTTTCTTGCACCTTTGGCGGAGGAGCTTGTCTTTCATAAAGCAGATATCCACCACAAACAGCACCACGGGCGTGGCCACCAGGAGCCACAGTATCCACGCCCGTGCCTGCACCGCGTCCACCACGCTGTCCTCGACATCGTAATCGGGCTCGAGCCGTCCTTGCTCCGCCGCCCACGTGCCGTATGCAACCAGTGGGGAGAGCGCGAGGCAGCCCAGCACGCAAGCCAGTCCGCCCGCCAGCGTCGAGAGGCTCGTCTCGGTGTACGCCAGCCCCTGCACCACCATTGACATGCCGCTGGACAGCTCGAGGCTTCCGAGCGGGGCGAGCCAGCTGATGGCCGGCTTGGTGGCAGCGGCCGCGGCCTTGGTCAGTGCCTCGAGCCGTTGGCAGCGGGGCCACTCCGACGTAGCTGTTGACTCAATCAGATCGAGCGACTTCCGCCCGGCGGCAAAGCTTAGCTTGACAAACGCAAAGAACAGCCCGCCCAATGGTAGGTAGACAAGATTCGGCAGGATCGGCAAAGCGAGGAGAACGCCAAGGGCGCACTTGGCGATTTTTGCGCGAGACAGCGACACGCCTTCCTCGTCTTCCTCGTCCACGATTACAAATGAATCTCGCCTGAATCCTCCCGTGAGCGAGCCCACAGCTGCCGCAACCAGCGCGGCCGCCCACGAGGCGACCGGCCCACCAAGCCACCCGCCGACGGTCCCCAGGCAGATGCCGTACAACGCCCACCGCGAGATGAAGTAGAGCACGCTCGCAAGCGGGATCGGCTGCACGAGGCTCGTGTTGGTCTTGCTGGCCTCAGCTTTAAAGTCAACCTCGTTCACGTTGCGCCCAATGAACACGAGCGCGCCGAGCGACAGCAGGTACCCGTACACGACGAGAAGCAGCAGCTTGCTAAGAAGCGCTGGCTGCGCCGCAAACGTGACCGTCGCGTACTCGTCCAGCAGCGTAAAGTTGTCGACCCTGACCATGCAAGGCCCGGTGCGCTCGTGCACGCCGAAGAAGGCGACAACCTGCATAGCCAGGGAAAGCCCGACCACGAAGAACTGGCACAGCTGCGTCAACATCCAAGAGAGCCAGAAGACGAGCCCGGGCCAGTCGATCCTGCGGTCAACAAACCGTGGCCGCGGGATGCCACCAATCTGAGCCAGCGAGTAGAGGAAGATCGTGGAGAGCCAGAGCCCCACCAGTGAGTCGGTGCGCAGAGGAACGAACATCTGGTCTGCGAAGGCCTCGGCCACGTACGCGTCGCACGGATCGCCCGTGCCGTTGGCAAGCAGGCACTCGAAGTCGAAGAAGGTGGGGGCGAAGGGGCTGCTGAAACCGATGCGCTCCTCCGTTACGATCTCGCGCTCTTCAGTTTCCACCTCCGTGAGCCCATCGGCCGTCATCGTGTGCATGACGCCCTCGAGAACGGCCGCACCGGCATGGTAAATCGCGCAGCTGCTGGTTGGGGGAGGTGGGGCTACGTCGTAGTCGTAGTCGTAGCTGCTGATCGGGGGAGGTGGGGGGCGCGGCTGCACCTCACCGACACCGCTTGCGTACGAATGCTGGTACAGCACAACAAGGACCATGCCCAAAAAGGCTGCGCAGCAAGTGTTTGTCGTCAGCAGTGCCGCCAGGAAGCCCTTGGTCATCCGGATGCGGCTATCGCCATCGATCAGCTGCTGGTACGGCCCGCCGCCGTCGCTTGCCGCTCGCACCTTCTTGAACTTGGGCAGTCCAATCGAGCGTCCGACAGTGCCTGCTTCGAGGTCGGTGTCGATGAGCTGCCTCGCTTCCAGATCCGCCGGCGCTGCCTCGGGCGCCGCCGGCTTCTTCACCGCCTCCGCCGCCTCTGCTGCCGCCTCGGCCGCCGCCGCTGCTGCCGCGGCCTTGTCCCGCTTCGCGTCGTCCACTTGCTTGGCCAGATCCGCCGCCAATGCCTCGGACGCCGCCAGCTTCTTCGCCGTCTCTGCAAGCTCGGCCGACGCCGCCTCCGCAGCCGCCGCCTGCTGCTCCGCCCGTATCTTTGCATCCTCCGCTTGCTGGGCCAGATCCGCCGCCGATGCTTCGGACGCCGCCCGCTTCTCCGCCGCCAGCTTCGTCCTTGCTTTCGCCCCGGGGGCAGACAGACCGCGCCGCATTTTGGTCTTCGTGAGCAGTTCCTTTCACCTTGGGAGCGGCGGCTTTTCGGACAGCGCCTTGAAAAAAAGAAAATTCTAACGGGCCTTGTTGGGGAGCCAAAATGGTGTTATCCGAGGCGCTGCGCTAGGCTCAGAGCGAGTTCGCTCTGCGCTAGGCTCAGACGGCGAGTTCGCGCTGCGCTAGCCCTGCGCTAGCCGCTAGCTAGGCCACAGTACTGTGCCACACAGATGGCGAGTGGTGCGCTGCGATAGATTTGCGCTGCGAGGATGCAAAGGCCCCTTCTTGGAGCCGACAGTGGCCAGGGGCGGGGCTTATTTTTGCCGTCGCCAGTCGTCCCCCCCCCCCCCCCCCCAAACGCTACAGACGGTGGGTAGGGGGGTGGGGAGGCTGCCGCCGTGTTCCAGGGCCGTGTGCGCTGCGGTGCGCGTGCGCACCGCACACCACACGGCGGGAAACAGACGGCGAGGGGGGCGCGGCGGCAGCCAAGGAGTGTCTAGAATAGTGAGGTTGCAAAACCAATCAGACCTGAATAGAGGCACTCACAAGCTATTCAACTCGTGACTACAATGACGCGCTCTGACCCTCCATTCATGAATACTGCTCTGAATCATATCGCAGCCCGATCGGATTCGACATGGTCTCGTGCGGGGTACATCCGAGGCTGAGCTGGGTGTTGGGCGGGGGGCGGCCGACCGCTCTCATGGCCGGCGTCGCAAACATCATCCCACGGGCCTCCGCGCGCCAAATGCTGACCAGCGTGCCCATCGAGGCGAGCGGAACCGATGAGGCGTTCACAAGCCTGGGAAGAAACAGCACGCCGATCGACGGGTACATTGTCAAACCTTACCCGTTCACCGCAGGCGCGTATGGCGGTGAACTCTTCAGCTGCGGCTTTGACCTTGCGTGCGAGCGAGGCTTCTACAGGTCGTTTCGTGCGGGCGGGAGGGGCAACTACTCGACGTGGATCTCACTGCAGCTAGCGCGCGAGAGCCTGCCCGCATCTCGCAGGAATGAGATCCCTTCGTGGCGAGCGCTCACGTCCGGCTGCGACGAAATGGACGTGCGACATCTGAGCATCCGTTCGTATGATGCAAGAAAGAAGTCGATGGCGGGGGCGTTCAGTGCACCTCACAATCTGACGATCATCAATGCGGTCAAGATTAGCCCGATGCCAGATTCCCAACAACCTTGACAGCGACAGGAAAGCTCAGACCCTGACCGTGGAGCCGTCCTGCTCCTGCTCGCTCCACCGCCACACGGCTGAGCGCTTGCACTTCTAGCGCGGCGGGTTCCCACACTATAGAATTGACACATGGACATCGAATTAAATTGAATTCCGATTTTCCTTTTTTATGAGGCTCTCTCTCTTGAGGTGCGAGCCCTCAGCCCTGGGGAGGCCTGGGGAATTCACAGCCTTGTTATTAAGAGTTCACATAAACGCACAACCGCGGGCCCCGAAATCGCACAGTGACAGTCAGATATGTCTGGGATTCACAGGTAGGCGGATAAGAAACCAGAGGCCCTATGTGCTGTTTTGTTGTTATGTGTTAAAAATCCGCGCAAGTACGGCTCTGCTGTCTGTCCCCAGCCTCTGACTGTGAGTGAGTGAGTGTGTTCTTGATAATTCACACAGGATACCGTCTTCCCGCCCTCATGAGCAGGCTTCGACTGGGCCCGGAGTCGAACAAGCCTTCCAGGGCGGCACCAAGGCACACGCGCACATGCACGCACGCACGCACACCGCACACACGCACGCACACACCGCTCGCCCACGCACACCTGGCCTTGCACTTTCAATGCCGTGGGGCTCCTGCCTTCTAGACGCAGCCTTAGACGTGGAGTCGCGAGGGACTAGCCTGGCCCTTGCCCCACCACCTCGTGTGTGTGGAGAAGCTTACCGTCCCTTCCCTTCCCCTACCAAGGCGGGCGTGACCACCGCCATCGGCGGCGGCGACACCGCCACCGCCGCCGCGACGTGGGACTGCGTGGACAAGGTGACCTTCGTGTCCACCGGCGGCCCGGCGCTTCGCTCGAGCTTCTCGAGGGCAAGGTGAGATACGGCGAGATACGGGCAGATATGAAGAGATATGGGGAGGCGAGGCACGGGGGAGGTATGTGGAGATATGTGGAGAGATGGGGAGTCTCGAGGGCAAGGTGAGATACGGGGAGATACGAGGAGATACGGGGAGATGTGGGGAGGTGGCGGGGCGCACCACCCCTCGGACAAGGCACGGGGAGATATGGGAAGATATGCATATGGGGAGTCTCGAGCTTCTCGAGGCAAGGTGGCTCCCGGCCTCGCCTCCTCGTTAGTTCTCATTGAACCATGACCGTCAATCCTTGACTAGGTGCTGCCCGGCGTCGCGGCGCTCGACGACGCCTAGAGCGGCGCTTTCCTCCTCCTCGCCTTCCCTGCTCTTGGGCTGTGGTCCACACGACCTGGCCAGGTCCCGGCTCGAGACAGTTCGGATTCCTCTCGATTCTCTCGCAGTCAAAATAGTAACATGCTCGCTTGGTGCGGATGCGCAAAGGTGGGAGGCCTTACTTATTTCTCTTCTTGTCGGCTCCAATACTCTGCAGGCTAGAGCCCCCCCCCCCCCCCACACACACAAAAGACACCGCATTTCTCCATCAGCGCCTAAATAAATAAATAAAACGCGCACGCCAAACGAGGGGTGGGAGAAGGACAAGGGTCCCCACCTGCACACGAGCAGGATCTTGTAAGGACGATCAGGGACACAGGGGAACGGGAGCGGGGAGCGCATCGCGACACGGAGGGGGGCTGGGCAGGGTTCACCCACACGACAGGGTCCCAGGGATTCCTCTCAGCGCCTCTCGCGCGGCGCTCGCGACGAATTCTTTTGCGCAGCGCCAAGACGGAGGCGGGCACACTTCGAGGAGATCCCTCTGCCCCGCGCAACAGGTACGAGTGGCACAATGTCGGAAGAGGGCAAGAGCTTCGCTGGGCGCGCCGCCGACTGCTGGAGCGCGATGCGCGCCAACCCCGACCGGTCGATGCACCTCACCTCCATCATCGCGGGCGTGCTCCTGTTTATCGGTGGCCTGTCGGGTGCGGCGCCATCCCCGCTGCACGCGCACACGCAGAAACGTGCCCGTTGCCGCGCGCATGGACGTGAGCGGGGTGTGGCGCAGCACGCGTCACGCGGCACAGAGGCCGCCGCCTCGCGTCCGTTCGCGAGCCGCCAGCCCCACTCCCGCTGCAGCGGCGGCGAGCACGCTCGGCCAAACACCCGCGGCCACCCTCCCCTCCGCTGTGCCGCAGGGCTGATCAATCTGCTCAACCCGCTCGGAATGGTCCTTTCGGTGTACAACATCATCTTTGCCGGCCTCATCCTCACTTCGGAGCTCAAGGCGCTGCCAGTCTTCAAGACGCTCAATAAGCGGTCGGCTTCGCCCCCGTCGCGCGCCCTGCGGTGAACAACATCTCCTCACGCCTCCATCTGGAATACAGGGTCGATTTGTACTTCCACATCCTCTCGGTCCCGCGCGGCAAGGCGGGCTTCTACGTCTTCATCGGCATCCTCGCCTTCCTCGGCACGCACGACTGGTCCATCTCTCGCAGCTTCTCGGAACCTTCTCGGAACCCTCTCGGAACCTCCTAGGCACGCACGACTGGTCCATCTCTCGCATCTGCATCCTGCTGGTTGCGATCGTCGGCGCCATACAGATGACGAGCCACTGCATACGCGGTACCGGTGCGTCCGTGGAGGCGGCGGGCGCGGCGGGAGGACAGCCAAAGCCGGGGCTGACTTCGTCGATGACTGGCAGCGACGCGTCGGCGGGCGCCAACCCGTTCACTTCCTTTGCGATGGAGGCGGTGTCGGACGCGCCCAGCCTCGGCCGCGCCGGCCTCAGCGCCGCCGCAACCTTCGCCTCCACCACCGCCCCCGCCACTGCTTCGAGCTTTGGCAGCGGCCAGCCGGCGCCGTGATTGCACATGTGGGTTGCCCGCCCGTTGCCGGCGGCGGCCGCGTGAACGGCGGAGCGAGGGGGCGGCGGCGGCCAGTGTGCGGAGCGAGGGGGGCGGCGGCGGCCAGTGTGCCGACTTGGGGGCCGCCCCACTCCGCGGCGCGTGTGGCATATATTCTCAGTACTGGCGGCACACGTGTCGGCGTTGTGAGTACAGAGAGAGGCGGTCCCAGATAGTGGGACGACGACGACGCGGTACCGACAATGTGCGTCGATGTGGTGTAAACTCTACTTTCTCTAGTCGGTGTGGAGCTCAGGCCTCAGGCTCAGCCTGACACACGTGACACGTGATACAGCCCGCTCCTCTCCGGCTGGAGAAGTGGCAGCAAAAAAACGCGCGCGGCGGCGGCACACCCCGCTCCGCGATGGCCGGTGCCGGTGCAGGGTCTTGGGAGCACTTGGAGTCCGCAGTTATCAACTCACAGTCACACCCGCGACCCGGCAAAGGCGAAAGGGCAATGTGCGGCATGTGCTAAAAACTGCGTGTGTTGTGCGAGAGTATATGGGACACGATGTCTCAAATATGAGAGGATTTGACTCCTACCAGCTCCTGACGCTATCCCTGGCAGCGTGCCGGCCCAGTCGCCCGAGCAGTGTCGCGGGGGGGCTCCAAGGCGGAGCCGGAGGAGGGGAGTACCGCTGCGCAGCGGTGGGGGTGGGCACACACACACTCACACACGTGAAACGACGACACGGCTCTCGGCTCCGTCCCCCGGCCCCGAGACGGTGAAACGCGCGGACTCTGGGAGAGCCTGCGGGGACTCCATGCCCTCCCTGGACCTCACGCTGCATCAGAACGGCAGCAGCCGCGACGTGCAGCTACCACTTGGGCTCGAGCCCGGCTGTCAGCTGCCCCCAGTAGTGCTCGTCCTCGTTGCCCGGTTTCAGGGCCTCGTCCATCAGCTCGAACAAAATGATGGTGACATCGTTATTAATGAGCGAGCGCATGCGGCCGGTGAGGCAGTTTTCGTAAAAGGTGCGTGCATTGGGCAAGGTGGCTACCCAGCTGCCGCCCGATGGCCATCCCGTCTCGCCTACCATCAGGTTGTCGGGCGGAAGACCAGCTCTGTGCAGGGCAAACTTGGAAGCGTGGAGCATTATGTCGAGGAGCGAGCGGGCCTCGTGGAGGCCAAATGTGGGGTCCGCGTGCGCCGGGTCCCACACACTCGTACGCGCCGCGTCGGGCGGGTAGTGCCATGGGGGAGGCATGGTGCCGAGGGCGATTCCGATGGGCATGGCTGGCTCGCTCTTCGCCACAAAGTAAGGAAACCAGTTTATCGAAACGACGTCGACGTCGCGGAGCACGTCGACCCAGGTGGGATCGACGATGGCAGCCTCGGGAGGGTAGGATAGCGTGATCACGCCGCCCGTCATCGGCACTGTCAGCCTGATGTGTGCGGCCTCAGGCCGTTTGGCCAGGGCAGCGCGGAAATTTGCAAGGGCGCTGAGCACAACGGCGGGCGGGACATAGGAGGCGGGTTCGTTCGGCTCATTGCCGATAGCGATGGCGGTGACGCGCTCAAGGTGCTCGCCAGCTTCGCTGATTATGAAGCCAACTACCGAATCGGCGACCGCAACGGCAGAGCTGATCATATTGACGTGCTCGTTGGTGACACCGACGATGAGTGACTCGACCTGGACTGAGCCCAGTACGGCAGGAATGACGTGGTTCTCGAGGTTGTACGTGCGCACGATCTTGTAAGGCAGTTTCTCGAGTAGCGCCGCGGCGTTCTGCATCTGCAGCTGCGCGGCCTCGCTGAACTGCGTGCTGAAAGCGATGCCCCACCCACTCGCATTGCCGCCAATCCCTGGCATCTCACGTGACCACGGCTCCTTTGGACGCTCGGTGCTCCCACTGCAGCAGCCTAGAAAACTGCCTTCCATCGTCGGGCAGCAATCACCGTTGAAATGGCCGCATGCGGAACTGGCGCTGCAAGCAGCAGACGGCACGTCGGCCGCTGAGATGACGCTGGTGAGTGTGCTCGTTTCCTGGTCACCCGCTGTGCGGCTGAGACTGACGACGAGGCCAATGATCAGGCAGGCGGCGGTGCAAGCGGCGCCTCGTCGTCGACGAGAGCGGCCATCGCCGTGCTCTTCCGCGTCCTCCTCCTCGTCTCGGCGAACGTATGCCGACTCTAGTTCGGAGATGTTGGCCGCCATGCGACTATGCACACTCTCAAACACAAAGGCCCCGGGCGATCGGCCTTTCAAGGCCTCCGAGCTCTCGTGGGCGAGCTGGCAGCGAGGCACGCGAGGTGGGCGGGCGAGGGCGCAGTGTGAAGGGTGACGGCGGAGACTGGCAATGATAGGGGTACAGAGGGGAACATTCAAAAGAAAACCGCAGATCGCACAGGACTTAGAAGCACCTAAAGGAGCAAGGCATACAGCTGTGAAGGTAAGTGAAGGTAAGTGCGTTTACGTGAAGGTAAGTCAAGAAAGAAGAAATCACTGGCGCAACAAAAACGTGCCGATGGACACTCTGCCAATGCACACCACTCCGCCACGAGCTTCGTCGCGCCTGTCGACGCCGTTTGTCGCGCTTGCCGCCCTTGCCGCCCTAGCGCTCCTAACTTTTCGGGTTGCCCCTGCCGAGATCGAAGAGGCGACTGCCCGCCGTTTCGAGGCAATAAAGGCGTGGAGAGCGGGAGACAAGGAGGGTGCCAAGGTGCCTCAGTTCACTCCCATTGCACCTTCGGTGTTAGCAGCCTTCACCCTCCTCCCGCTTGGTCCACAGAAGATCGCTGTCGATAAGGCGAGCAGCGCGAAGCAGGCAGTCGTTGATGCCAAGGCCGAATACGACGAGTTTCAGGAGTGGAAGAAGACGCACCCGCGGCCCGCGGAGAAGGTTGGGTGGATGCCCTTTGCACAGGCCGGCGCCGAGACGGGCGGCAACTTCATGGCCCAGGGCCTCGACACGAGCTTCCGCTTCTTCACTGACCCGAGTGCGCCGTGGACGCCTTGTGGATGCCTGTTCACCACACTGTGCCAACACCCGCCCACCGCCCTCATAAGCACCACACCCGCGCCCCGTAGACTTCGACTTCCAGCAGGAGGGCATGGCGTACGTCGAGTCCTCCCAGGCCACCGCCAATAAGTTTGGCGCCATCCAGTTCTCGGAGAATGCGACCGTCGGCGACGAGGCCTCGGCCGCTGATCACCAGCGCTCGCCCACGGCCAGCTGCTATCTCAGCGACTCTGGCCTTCCGGTCCCGTAGGCGTACGCCGCGGCGTCCTTCGCCGCGGCAAAGTACGCCGAGCACCAAAAGGCCGAGGCGGAGGCCGCCAGCTATGCAGAAGGAGTCCGCGCTGACGCGGCGACGGCGGGTCCCGTCGATGGGGGCGTCTGAATTCGGACGCCTGTGCCACCCTCCACACACTACACACTACACACAGGCAGTGTACTAGCACAGCGCCTTCTGCGCCGTGAACCCCAAATGTCAATACTCGAGCATCCTTGTGCTCAATCGTGTCACGCGCCTACGTCCCTTGGCCAGCGCCTGCGAGGACGCCAGCCAGTGTTTTGATCCTTTTGTAAAGCCTCCTTTTATGAGAGAGAAGAAACCGCGCCGATGTCCTCAAAGAGTCACAGACAGTGTCTGAATAGATAGGCAAGCGTGAAAGTACGGCCGTCCGTTCCCCTGCGTCTCCCTGATCGTCCTTACAAGATCCTGCTCGTGCAGGGGTGGGGACCCTCTGTCCTTGTCGCTTCTGCTTTTCCCACCCCTTGTTTGCGGTTTGGCGTGTCCGTTTTATTTATGTATTTAAGAATTTTACTTTCTAAAAGAATTACTGTTGTGACCTGTCGCTGTGTGTGAGCTGTGACGGCTGACGCGCCGTCCACCGTCCTCCAATCTCCCTCCCCAGGTCGTCTGTTTTTCTTTCTTTCTTTCCGTGACGCGCGCCGCTCTCGCTCGTCCGACCGAAGGATGTAATGAACGATGCTAGGGGTAAAGGCTAGAGCGCGCGGCGGCGCGATTCCTTCTCGGCGCCCCCCAGTTGCGCAGCGCACAGACCCGCAGACGCCCGCGTCGTCCGACGTGCCAGACTCATAAGTACATGTCAGGAACAGCGGCAAGCTAGGCAAGCGCGCGCCGCAAGAGGGTGCGGAGAGGCGCCAGCGGAGGGCACTAGCGAAAGAGTGCGATCTGCGCCATGGAATCAGAGCCATGGAATCTGAGCCGTGCGGTCTGCCTGGGCCGTGCGAGCGGCCGGCGCGGCGCCGCCTCACTGCGAGAGCGCCGTGTTGACCTTCATCAGCACACCGGGCACATTGCGGTGGCAGTTGATCAGCCGGTGCGTGCCGACGCGAGGCATGATGTCGACCTGCGGGAAGTTGACTGCGCCATATACGTGACGCCCGTGTTGATGCACTTGATCATCGCGCTCGCAACCTAGGGGAGAGTGGGTTCGGGTACCGTGGGGGGAGGGGAGGGTGGGTTCGGGTACCGTGGGGGGAGGGGAGGGTGGGTTCGGGTACCGTGGGGATAGGGGGGGTTCGGGGACCGTGGGGGTGGGGGAGGGTGCGTTCGGGTACCTCGACGCCGATGGCGGCCTGCGCCTCTTCGGTCGAGCCTCCGATGTGCGGCGTCAGGATGACGTTGGGCAAGCCGCACAGCGGCGACTCGAACAGCTCCTCCCCGTTCTTCTTTGGCTCGGACGGGAAGACGTCGATGGCAGCGATGGCGGCGTGGCGCTGCGCGCCGGCGCGCCCGCGCCCGCGAGAGCAGCCGACACTCCAACATTTTTCACATAGAGAAATCCAACCACCGAGCGCTTTTGGTCCAAGGTGGCTGCTGGAACAGGCAGGGCAGCATGCGTACGCTCAGTCAGCTGCTCCGCTTACACTTACCTGTGAAGTGTGAACAGCGGATTTTGAATCAGCGTTCTCCTTGAACGATATCGGTGTCGAAACACCGCTCTGACAGCGCTCACAGCTACGCCTTCTCTGCCAAGTTGAAGGATTGTTTTTTTGTTGCGAGTTGAATGGTGACCATGAGGGTGATGGGTGGCAAAATGCGCAGCCACCCACGACACAAAGATGAGGCCTGTGTTAGACAGTTGTTGTGTGTGAGTGAGTTGTTGTTGTTGTGACAGTGAGGCGCCTGGGGCTTGCAGACGCCAGGCGAGCAGTAAGGTGGAACAGCGGCGCTAAGCGAAGATGGAACGGACGATCGCCATCCCGCAAGGGTGGGGCAATTCGACGGCACGCCGGGAGGAGTGGAGCAAGTGCGTCGCACGCTACGCGGCTCTGTGCTCCAAGCCTGGGATGTGCGTGGGCGACGGCGACGAAGACCTGCCGGGCAAGTCGACGCCGACGAGCTCGGGCGCACTCGACCACCTCGCCTCCATCGCGACGGAGGAGCTCCTGCGGCGCAGGAGCAAGCGCAAGCGCAGCATCATCGACCGCCCGCTCGGCGAGGCTCCTGTGCCGGTCGTGGAGCGTGTGCTCAACCACTGGCTGACCGGCCTGTTCCGGACCGCGAGCGGCGAGACGGCGAGCGCTCACACTCTCGCCCTCTCGCCTACGCCCCATACCCAGCACCACGCCCGCCCGCGCTCACGCACACCGCCTCCCGACTCTGTCTCAGATGGCGGAGTCCCTGTTCGCGCCCGACGCCTTCGTCTCCATCGAGCTCTCTATCGAGGGAGCGCCACGCCGGCCTCCTTGCCGAGGTGTGCCCACTCTCGCCCACCTTGACGCGGAGGCTCGCCACCCCACATCAAGGTGCGGCCGCTGTTGACGTGTGTCGCGGATGCGCCCTGTGAGCAGGTTCCAAATCCCGAGCATCAAGTACTTTCTCATGTGGGACCGCGCCATCTTCTCCAAGTACAACACGAGCGCGTACCTCATCGACTACGTGCTCGAGAACCTCGACGGCTCGGTCGCGGTCCAGATCCGACCCTGCTCAACGGCGAGCAGCCCACGGGCGGCCAGGAGGTGATCATGCACCAGCTCTGGGAGGTCACCGGCGGCGGCCGCGTCCGCTCCTTCCAGCGCTTCTGTGCGGCCTCGCCGACGTCCTGCGCGTCGGCCTGCGCGTGTCAGTCGTCGTCGTCCTGCGCGTGGGTCTCGCCCCTCTCCCGCCGCGCGCTCGAGAGGGTGCGCGGCTCCTTCGGCGAGGACGCGCCGCTGGCGAGGGCGTCGTGGTCGGCCGAGGAGGGTGACGGCGGGGCGGGCGGCGGCGGCGTGGGCGGTGGGCCGGGTGGAGGTACGGGGGGAGACCCGTGAGTGAGAGATCTCGTGACCCGAGGAGCGTGGCGAGCGGGCCCCAGCACTCTGAAGCGCGAACCAACGAGGTCGGTCGGCCAGCCCCGAGGAACTCAAATCCCCGACGTACCCCTTCCCCGCCCCCTGCCCCGCCCGCCGTATATCGTACATATACACACGCATATTGCTCGCCATGTCTGGGTGGGTCCGCTCCTCTCGCTCGGCTCGCGCTTGTGTCTCTTTCGCGTTCCGAATGAATGTCACATCTGCCCGCTCCCTGTACTGTCCCGAAATGTGCGCTCTCGAAAGAAAAAACGGTGTTTCCATAGCTGTGTGTGTACATGTATCGCGCGCCCTCGTGACGTCCGGTCGGACCGACGGTCGTGTGCCGTAGCACCACGTGGGCCACGTCCGTCGTCCCTTGGGCGTTTGGGGGCGCGCACTTGTGGACTTGAGGAATGAGTCAGAGGAGCACTTGGAGTGCGGTTGGTAACCGCACTCCCAGGGCCGGGGAGCTAAGAAGCGCACCCAGCGGGCCGGACGATTGGTATCGGTTGCGGGCTAGAGAGCCCTAGCCCCGGGGCCATGCCGCATGCGCGTTTCACCCGAAACTGCAAACTCACCCGTGCCCCTTCGTACTTACTACATACAACACCACACTTGCGCGAGCTCACGACGACGTTTACAGCCACGACAAGGGCCGCTATACAAAACACCCCGCCCGGGGGGACCCCACACCCCAGACGAGACGCTTCAGCCTCTCTTCCGCACTTCAGACACATCGCGATCGGCCACCGAACGCACATGGACCACGGGCCGGTGCGTGTTGCGTCGCGCACGAGAGCGCTTGCCAGTGAACGCAAAGCGACTCTTCTCTACTTCTTCGCCTTGCCCTTCTTCGCCGGCGGGGTGAAGACAACGAGGAGGTTGAGGATGAGAAACACCACGCCAATGCCGATCTGCGGGATCCACATGTTGAACGGCGTCACGGCATTGACGCCCGGCCCGGCAGTCTTGTAGTAGAACGCCGCCTGGATGAACAGGGGCTAAGCTGAGGGTGTTCCACACGAGGTACTGCTTGCAGGCACTTTCATACGGAACGCCAAAGGCGTACGGCCCGAGCACGATCATGATGAACAGCAGACCGACGACCCGCGCAAAGAACGTTTGGAACTCGCTCGTCTCCGTGAAGTAGGCGATCGGAGACTCCGGACCGTAGAAGAAGTTGACCATCGGAAACATCGTGAATGAACCCAAAGCCGCCGTAGACGGCGGCCATGAGCATGCAGAAGGTGGAGGCGCTGACCATCGCAGTCACGCGTGCGCGGAAGAGGTAAAAAGAGAAAAAATGAAACCGCTGCGTCCTTCGACTGCTTCTAGAGCTCTATCGCTGAGGCGTCGAGGGCCCCGCTCTTTCCCTCACATAGCGGCCACTCTTCGGATCGCTGGTCGAGCGACCCGGGGGACGCCCCGCGCGCCTGACCCAGGCGCGAAAAACGAATCTGCGAGGCGAGGCCGCTCACGCGGCCCGATGGGGAGGAACGGGGCGAGCCCCCTCCAACCCACCCGCGCTAGGTCTCGGGGGACGAAGGGGTCACACCCGACGACCTCGGGAACTAGCCGGGGCAGTCGGAGAAGTGGCAACTCCGTGCACTGACGGTCGGCCGCCAGAAAACACGCCTCCGTGGCTCGGGTTACACCAATCCTCGCTACCCAACGCGGCCAAAGGATATCCACCTCGAGAACCTCGAGAACCTATCGCTCCTCACAGGAAAAGAGAAACTCCGCATGTGTGTGTGCGGCGGAGCCGGGCATCCTTTCCAGGCTGCCCGAGCTGGTGCGCGCGCGCGGCAGCGGTTGCTATTTTGTGACGGCCCTGGCGAGCCGCGGTTGCTACTTTGTGACGGCCAGCCACCACTCCGTTCGCGATGATCAACCCGCTCTCGCTCGTCGCCGCCGCCGTCGCAGTCGTGGTCGGCATTCGCTGTGCAATACTTGGTTGCAAACGTCCAGCCAGCAGCTCTTCGGTCGAGATAGCGCCGGGTGTCCGCATGCCTCTTGTATTCAACGGCATGTCCACGGACCACGGCCTGTGGCTCGCGTCCGGCGGTCGCGGCATAGACACTGCGTTTTTTGTATGGCGATGAGCTGCAGCGGCACGTCGCGTCGGGAATCGCCGCGTCAGGCGTGGAGCGCGAAGAGGTCTTTGTCACAATCAAGGTCAACTGCTGCCCGACCGATCGGTGCAGCCGCTTCTGCGCACACCCGCCACGCCCGACATCGGCGCCGCCGATGTCTGTGTACAACGGGTCGGAGATGCTCGAGCATAGCCTGGCGATGACAGGGCAGAGGTACGTCGACCTCGCGCTGCTCCACTTCCCCTGCTCCAGCTGGGACGACACGCTCGCCATGTACCGAGAACTGGAGGCGGCCCGAGACCGCGGCTCGCAGGCCTAGATGCGGCAACACAGCTCTCCCGGGCCAGCTAGGGAGGAGGCCAGCTCCACCGTGCAAGCACTGCCCCGCATCCCTGCCAGGCTTGGCGCGTGCAATCGGCGTCTCGAACTTCAACGCGAGCGCGCTCAAGCGTCTTCTCCGGCACGCCCGCACCAAGCCGGCGGTGGTGCAGAACGCGCTCTCCGTCGCCGGCCACCCGGCGCCGCACAGGGGCGAGGGGACGGCGTGCTCCGAGGGCGCGCCGGTCTACGGCAGCAACGACGTGACCCTCCGCTTCGTGCGGCGGCACAGGATCACCTTTGCCGCCTACTCGCCGCTCGGGTCTCAGCAGAGTCGACGTGCTCGGCCACCCTGTCGTCCGAGAGGTTGCCGCGGCGCACGGGAAGACGCCGGCGCAGGCAGACCCGTCGGGGTGCCTTGTCCCACCTCGACACACGTCCACGACGTGTCCATGTGCCACCTGCAGGTGGCCCTCAAATGGCTTGTCCAGCAGGGCATCGCGGCGGTGACGAATACGGCGAGGCCCAAGCATGCGGCTGAGGCGCTCGACTTGGGCAGCTTCACGCTCTCGGCGCGAGAGATGCGCGCGCTGAGCAAGGCGAGGTGAGTGTGGAGCCCTTTGG